GCAGAGACGTCTACATGGTTGCACGTTTATTTCAGTGTGTATTCGGTTATTTCCATATCACGATGCAGAACAAATGACATTATCCGCAGGCATATAACACCGAGCTGTTTGCGAATAGGTAAATACTATAATATAATTCGTAACTAGTCGAAACGAAGAGGCGTGGACTTATAATATATCGCTCATATAATATTATGCGCACCCGTACATGGCTCGACTTTGGGGTGGTTAAACGGAAGGTGAAGTAAATCACTCTAGTATAGATAATTTTTAATTTTTTTACTATCATGAACATCGATGACATCCATGAGTCATGACAATACAATATCCACCTGCGTGACCATATAGGATTATTACATATATTTATGCAAAGCGAATGAGGTAGATATAATAGATAGGTATTAACTATTAATACACAGTACATACTTTATAATAATACGTTTAATATGAGTAACATAATATAATATTAATAATATTAATTTAATTAATACAGAACAAAACAGGTGGCGAAGAGCCGACGATGGTACAGACATGAAATACGTGAGGCAAACCTACACTATACTTGGTACAAATGACAATGGAGGACATGATAAACGGTTTCAGAATAGTACCAGCGAACACAAAAGTGAGATAACGGTGGGGGAGGAGGGGATGTTTAAAAACTTTTAAACTCTATAATATACATATTACTGGTCTATCTTGTCTACAGAACCACAACAACAAAGGAACCGCCTGACAAGTTTCTTTGTCTGGCGCCAAAATGAACGACGAGGACGTGTGTGTCTTGGACTTTCCAGTTTCCGTACATCGCTGGTGACCTGCTGAAACTTCAGATTTGGCATTGATCGCCACCCAATATCTGCAGCTGTCTCGCCAGCTAATTTTGGATGTACGGGAATATTTGGCTCAAAAACACAGAGCCTGAGGTCCAGAAAACCTTTGGAATCAACATTTTTCAACGATTCCGGTCTTCGTATATTATTGGTACGGTTAAACTTCAGATTTGGCGTTGATCGCCATCCAATATCTGTCGATTTGGCTGAGGAATTTTCACACATCGCGGCCATGTTAGGCATAGATACACATCTATATGACATATTTATTTGATAATATTATATAGGCAGAATTAACGGAGAAGATTATACAGAAATATGTAGAAATGAAATTTATTCGTAATGAACACAATAAATGAATATTGACAAGTGGTAACTATGTGACACAGATATGAATTGTAGATTTTTGAAACATTCACGTACATGGCAACGATATTTTAGTTGTTTGTGTTGTGTATTCTTAGAGCCAATATTAATAATGTTAATGAAGTTGAGAATTTCATAATGCTTTAACAGGAATTTTCGAAAACTAATTGGATAGGGTATAATACAATCCATCAAGGTAAGTAAAAATAGTTCTCATTATTTGATTAATATTAATGTATAAGACATTTTTTTTTTCAGAGTCATGTTTCATAAATATTGGGTACCTATGTCAGCACAGTAAGGTGACTTCATTAACATTATTAATATTGGCTCTAAGAATCGAGGTCTTTTCATTTATATTAGAAACTTCATTTGATAGAACCGCAATGATATTATTATTTTTTAAGAACTTAATGAATTCATCCATTATGAATACAATATAATTGATTATTCAGAAATGCAGAAACAGAGAACTACCACCAATAAGTTAAATACCCAAACAACCAGAGCTTAAAAATACCTAACTAGTGAAAATGCTAAGATGCTTTAAACACTAACAACTTAAAATTAAAAGTACAACTATAACGGAGATGTACAATTAAAGTTTAAACGTGACAGCAAGTCAAAAATCAATTTAATATTCCTGTTGACAAATTAATAATAGCTGCTAGGTAGTCTGGTAGTCAATAAATAAACCATGTGACTACTGACTATACTGTTATCAGTTTGATAAATTTAGATTATAATTTAGGAGCTATATCTACATATATTTTAGTGGCGACATCAATTAATTAATAATTAATAAACGAAGTAGGTACCAAGATGTAAATAAGATAAACTTCTGTTTAAATTTTTGATATTAAGGAAGTCATCTTGTATATTCAGAACTCAACTGATGTGCCATGTGGTACTTGCGCGATTGTTCCCAGCTTTTTCACCTCTAAATACTGTGCATAGACAGAAATTTAACATGCGCCTCGCATGGTCATCATAGTAAAAAAAATACTTAAAATATGTTGAATATGAAAAAACATTAATTTAGGACAATCAAATGCAAAATCCCATGGTAGAGGTCACTGAACATATAACATGTATTTTTCATTGTTTTTACATAGTTTTTTTTCATTCGAATTAATATTTTATGACTTCATTATGAAGTTTATACTGGAATTAGGTACATTAAATTATATTATTATTTGTGACTAGGTATACTGTTATCAGTTTGATATATTTAGATTATAATTTATAATAAACTTAGTAGATGTAGAAGATAAACTTCCCTACATCATAAAATAAACAACATTTAATGTAATATAATAACAAATTGTTTAATCGTTTGCCAAAATAATTGGTAAATCTGAGTTCAAAATTGTTAGGTACCTCATCAAATTATAATAAAATTGAATGGTATATTTTATAATAATGAATATTATGAACCCGCTTCCTATTTCATTAATTCGCCATTTCCAATCACGAAATCATTGCATAGTTAATAGTTTGGTACCAGTGTACAACGATAATTACTATGGTCTATGAGCAATAATATCTAGGTATACGACATACCTATATAGTAGGTACTATAATAATATTATATACTATATTATAGTAGATACCTATTTATAAATTATAATCCATAAATATAAATTAATACAATCGTTGATTTCCTTCTGTAATCAACTATAACAAATAATGCTATGATAATGTATACAGTATACGCCTATTACATTGGAGGAAATCGGGTGGGGGGACTTTGTATATACTCTGTATATGTATATATTAATATATTATGAATAAATGTAATTATTCATTGCCTGCTTCAACATTGGTGGCCGACTTCAACATTGATCACAACTGTAGTATAAATACGGGCGATGGCTATCTAGTTGTTGTATAATATTATATCTATGGTTTTGCACTACAAAATAAAATAATGCCAATAATGGTTAAACGGAAACAACCGGGATGATTTTAAAATCAGACAGAGTCCATTTTGCCCCGAAAATTACGCCACTGACCTAGTGACCTAGGTAGGTCACCTATCAGGATAATATGCACTAACACTTTTATTATGATATTCTAGAAATTATATCTCATCGACTATCATAGTATTATTATTTATTATTATAGTATTTTTTTTATTTATTGTTGTATGATGTTTGTTAATATCAATTTATTATATAAAATGCTGTTCATTAAAATTAAAATTATCTAACAACTGTTGTAATGAATAATTTTAAAGGAATTTAGAGAAATATAATATATATTATTTTTTTTTTTTTTTTTTTTTATTGATCTATTTATTTTACAACCCGGCATCATGGGCCATTAGTTAGTTTTTTTTTTTTTGTGATACTTTTGTTACATATTTATATTTACATTTACATTATATTTGTTCTATTAAATTAATTGATTTTAAAAATTAAGTATTTTCCTGTTTTGAGCGGGATCCGGTCCGAGAAGTGAATCAAGTGTTTCTGTAATGTTGAAGTTTATTCGTTCCTGTTGATAGAGTTAGCATTCCGTTAGTATGTGTTTGATGATGAGGGGGGTCCCACATCCTTCGCATGTGGGAGGTTGCTTATATTATTTATTAAATAATCGATTAAAATGGTTTTATGATTATTAAATACGTTAGAAGATAGAAATAAAGAATATTCAAGGAATCTTATTTGCCATTTAAATTTGCAGTATTTTCATTCTTTATGAACCATCATGCATCATAGAGATATAAATCTATATATATATTGTAAATAGGTATCTTTGTATTAGTATAATTTATTAAATGTTTGCAGGTGCAAAACTTTTATTTGTGCAATAATCATGAAGGCAAATTAAGTCATATTTGAAGACAATCGCTTTGTGTGTGTTGTAATGTATAGTATAAATAATATTACAATAACTTTTATTATTAAATAAATAAGTAAAACACCACTAAATATATTTTATATTGTTTATTAACTAAGAGAGCTCCTTACAGCACAAACTGTGATAGACAAGTGAGATAACTTACTACTAGATAATACATATTATAACATTATATTCTTTTTATATATGATTATCATGTAGGCTAACATTTGAACATGTTGATAATACAAATTATAGCCTTACAGTGTCATCATTTTTTATATAAATATTTTTCTGTACACATATAAAAATACCATATTTATTTTAAATAAACCACCACCTTATATAAGCCGCTGAACAATTACCAAAAGATACAATTTAATTAATAATATGAGTAAAATACAATAATATCTTTTTAAAATATAATAATTCATACTTAAGTCCAAAATTATAAACTAAGCTAATTTTGTAAATTCTAAATAATATGTATATTAAAATGTATAATATTGAGTTATATAACATAAATAAAGTAAACATATATTTTAAAGTAAAGTACGTATAGATTAATTTAATCCTAATATTTATTTCTGCTCAATCATTTATTTCTTAACTATATTTAACAATTTTTTGGCGAAAGATTAATCTATACTAAATTTTATAATAAAAAATAAAGAGTTAATAAAAACTCAGATGGCAAACCAATTTTTAGATTAGGAAAATGCAATATAAAAAAGTATGATGATAAGGTCACAATGTAGATAAAATGTATAGTCACAAAACATTAATAAATAATTCCATATTATATTTCTTCAAAATAAAATAATTTGTAAAATAGGTTAAGTAAACCATGTTAATTGTATAACTCAAATAATAAGTATAGGTATTGTATAACAAAATGTACTTTTCTATTTTGTATCTACTATATTTAATATTCAAATTATCTTTTTATCTATTATACTATATTTTATGTTTTTTAAGGTGAATTTTTATTTGTTTTTTTTGAGCAAATGATTTTTTGCAGATGGCACAATTAAATGGTTTATGGGTTTCATGAACAATTACGTGTTTTCTTAAACTCGATGCTTGCAGAAAAGATTTATAACAGGTCATGCATTTATATGGTTTTTCTTCCATATGAATCTGCAAGTGACTTCTCATGTGGTTTTTTCGTAAAAAAGATTCATTACAAATATCACATTTATATTTATATAACATCTCACGGGGTAGATGAAGTTTTTTGTGTTTGTTTAAATTTGATTGAAGAGTAAAAAATTTATTACAAACCAAACATTCAAATGGTTTCTCTCCCGTATGAGTTCTAACATGTCTTTCCATATCTTGTTTACGTAAACATGATTTTTTACAAACATTGCATTTAAACGGTTTTTCACCCAAATGAATTTTTTTGTGTTTTGTGAGTTCGTGGTTTTTTGAATACAATTTAAAACAAACATCACATTTAAATTTTTTATGAGCATTCGGTTTTATTGGATCATGGGGTATATGAGTCATTTTATGTCTATTTAAATTTGATACATCAGAAAAAGATTTATTACAAATTAGACATAAGTAAGGTTTTTCTCCTGTATGAACCCTAATATGTTTTCTAATACTATGTTTCTGAAAAAATGATTTATTACATATACCACAAATAAATGATTTATAACCTCTATGAATAATTTTGTGTTTACATAAATATGACAACTGAGCAAACGATTTAAAACAAATATGACATCTGTATGGTTTTAATATATCATAGCCAGGTTTATGAATCATTGTATGCCTATTAAATCTTGATGCATTCAAAAATGATTCTTTACAAATATCACATGTGTATGTAATAGTAGTCTCATGAATCTTTAAGTGTCTATTGAGGAGTAATTGCTTTCCAAATGATCTGCTACAAATAGTACATTTGTATGGTTTTTCCTCATTTTTTTTTGACGATTTCACTTCGCGTTTAATAGTAGTTAAGGCTTTTGTGTTGAGATTTGTGTTAGGATTATTTCTAATGTGCAACTTGTCAATTGTATTAGACACAACTGGTGGTATATCACTGTATTCTCTCTTGATAAAAGTTTCATATACATTAATGCCAATTGTATCCAATTCAGTTTTTATCTTACCTTCTAGATTTTTTATTTCACATTTAAAATCTTTTATGTCACTGAAACAAAAATTAATATTTAAAATATACATAGTGTAACCAACTAACAGCTAAAATATAACAAAAAACACTTATAGTATAGTCATAATTAATGGAAACACTAATTATTGTTAAGTTAGCTTGCTCTTTTACATAAATTGGTAGAATAAAATAGTACCTACACAGTTAGTAGACAAGTGTAATAAAAAAAGGATTATAATTAACCTATTAATAAATGTTTAAGGATATTTTTTTTGTATTTTGTAGGTATCTATTGAATTATGTTTAAGAGAATACTTTGTTATTCTTAAATTATACACATTTATGAATTGGGTTTTACACTTCTACCAGTTTAAGAAATACTGGTTTCATATCAGTAAAAATACCTAGCAAAATATTGTTATAGCTAATGTGTTTAGAGATAGTCGACTAAAAATGAAGGTACAATCCTACAATAATAAAATGAAATAATAATATTGACATCAGGTAGGTGTCTCTATAAAGCTAATAGGTAGTAGGTACTTACCATTGATCAGCCGTTTGACAATCATTAGCATCATAATTAACATTGTTTTCTGTCAGTTCATCAATATATTCTTGTTTAATGTATTTATTTAGTCTTAAATTTTGTGGCAAACATATTTTTGGTGAAATCTTGGACATTTTTGGCTTTAGAACTTACAAAACATATCTAAACAAAACAATGGAAAATGTAACCATTTATAACACATTAGTTGTTTCTAATACTAAGTATTTAATATATTAGCCATAAATTAGATTAATAATTTCTTCAATGGAAATCTAAAAATTAATACAAGTTATCATATACAATCGTAATGTGACATTAAATGTTATAATATTTATTCAACATTAGTTTAGGATTTTATAAATAAAATAACATTCTAAGAAACTTTAAGCTATACAGGAAAATAAACATTTAGATATTAGGGATGTTTGAAATTTTAATTAACTAACTAAGTAAACATTTTAGATTCTGAGTGGAACGATGAATGTATTGATTTTACAATGACGTGTGTTCTTTTTTTTTATTTTTTTATTTTATTTGTGTCTAAGTACAAGATAAGAAGTCAAAATAATGCTTCGATTTTCAACTTCATTATCTTGTTTGATTGGAAAGTGAATATCGTTGGTGCATGGGGAGGTCAAAATTTATAATTCCCAGTAATTTTCAAAAGCACCAAGAAAAACAAAAGAAAAATTAAGGAAAAACGGGAATGTGTACTCAAAATCGAATTTGGTTTTTGGTATAACTTTAAAAAAAATGACCATAGATACATGAAAATTTCACTGGTTGTTTATACGATACCATTTTCAAAATATTTTGAACTGTTTAGGGACATTTTCATTTTCCATTTTTTTTTCTATAAATATCAATAAAGTTTTATCTGATGGGCCAAAAAGTATAAAAATTTAATACAAGGCTCCTGATATATTGTTACAATATCAGTTGAAAAATATTAAAAATACATAGGCACAATTTTTTTTTATAAGCATTTAAAGATCAAATTTTGACAAAATTTATTAAATATAAAATTGAATAATTATTTTGTAGTTAAAAATTTATAAAATGTTCAACTTTTATATCTAAGGATTGATAATTTTAAAAAAGATTCCACTTAAGTAGTTAATTCTGTTACCAAAAAATCTAAACAATTCATAGACACAGTTTATTTTTATAGTCATTTTAAGTTGAAATTTGGACGAAATTACATAATAAAAAACCTAGAATAACTATTTTTGTTATATTGTTGTGATTGTATAATATTATTCATGGGTATTTGAAACTTCTAAAGTACACTATTATATATCTATGATAGTATCAGGGTATGTTGTTGATGTATAACGCGTTATAAGTACCTAATGGATATTGTGATATGATTAATTTGGAACTTATTATAGATACCTACTACCTATATTATAGGTCGATTTTTTTTAATACCATAGATAAGTATTTAATATGTCTTAAACCTAGACTGACATACCGTCTCCGCTCAGAATTGTTTTTCTTATACAATGATATTATATCATTGAATTCAAATTTAATACCATTCGTTATACAGTGACCTACTTGTAACCTACTGTACAGCAGAGCGATTTCCACTTACCCGCTTTTTTATTATTTCAATTTAAAATGATAAAATGATTTTAATAATTCAAGATTTTAATATTATTGAACAATAACTACTTTTAAACAAGAACACCTTTTTTAAATTGTATATATTATTGTTCAGACAATTTAACAATGAAATTATCTTCAGGGTGATTTTTTGAGTATGCCCTTCCCCTATTTTTTGCTTTTATAGTACATTTATTCAAATTTCTGATATTTTTTGTACTACTTAAGGGATGTTATGTGGTGATACAAACTCATAGTTTTCAAACAAGAACCCCCTCTATTTACTGAAAATTATTTAGCAGATGCTTTCTTTCAAACTGTTGATGTATTTAAATCAAAATTCTAATGAGTTATTAAAATGTTTATTCGAAGGATAATAATCCTTAAAAATGGTTTTATGAAAATAAGAACTATTGGTAAGTTATATTAGTAGTGCTATTTATTATATTTGGATAATTTTTAAAAATTATTTATATTGATAAATCAATAGTAATTACTAAGGCTCGGAACCTAATGCACTTTAAAAGTGCTAAAAATACATGCACTTATGAGCTTAAAAAGGTACAAATAATGCTTTAAAAATGTGCACTTATTTTTTTTTTCAACACAACATTTGGTATATACAAATATTTTACTATAATAAACATAATTGCCAGGTATAAATATATAATATAAATAGCTTAAAAAAAGTTATTGAAATAAAATGCATAATTTGAGCAAAAAAAAAATAGGGACAGCATGCTTAAAAAATCATCCCATATATTTATTTTTACTTTGTAATTACTACATAGCCCGGAATCGTATGCACTGATTATCATTCAAATATGCACTTAAAATATGCAAACATAATTGTATTTTAATTAACAATTAATAGTTTTATCACCTATATTACACAATTTTTATCCATATTTAGTGAAAAACACGGATTTTTGCAATGGCTTTTTTGTATATGTCAAATAAATTGTTTTTTTTATGTTTTTTCTTAATGTTGACTCGTCCAAAATAATCCAAAGCCAATGAACAATGGTAAAACAATGGATATGAAACACTTCGGTATTTGTAAAATACAACAATATGCAATATAGATAAAAAAAAATGAGAAAATATTATGCAAAAATTTGTATTCTATCCATTGACTATAATTCAAACTTTGGATTGTTAAAAAAAAAAATTAATTTCCTACAGGGCCGTATTGAAGATTTTTCAGCCTGTAGGCATCAACATTTTGGCACCCCCCCCCCCCCCCCACTTAGCTTATGATTAATTTTTCATATTTCTGTATTTTAAACAATATTTTATTGTCTACCAAAAATCAAAAAAAACTGTCTTATGATTTCTAAATATATGATTATAAATTATACTTAACAAACTTCTATAAAAGACTGAATTATATTACATTATTATTCTCATAATAAATTAATGTGACAATACTCTTTTGCGGACTAAGGACTATTAGGAATATTATTTGGATACAGTGCCGGCTCGTGGGTTTTTAATGAAGTAGTGCACATCCAAAACAAATATAACCAATATTATATATATTATATATTATGAATTGTATTAAATAATTGTTTACAAATTTTAGTTATTCACATTTCACCAATTAGCTATTATTTTGTTTAGATTTTTAAACAGAAACATGATTGTTGTTTTGAATTTTTGCTTATGATCGACTAACATTATTTATCAGCTGATAATCAGAATACAATAAAAGAATGAGAGTAAAAATTATAATGCCTATGCTGAAGCGCAACGGCATCGAAAATAATTCTCTGAAAACAATTTAATTGGTTATGTGCACATCAATTGCATTATAAATTAATAATTAATAAATTTCCATAGTATATTCGAAAACATTGTTTTACTTTTATTTTATAGTCGCCCCATTACATTTATGAGGGTGGGCTATTGCCCTCCCGAACCATCTCTTAAATACTGCCCTGATTTCCTATATCCTTAGCTAATTTATTGTACTATATATACAATATAATATATAATATATATACCTACATATAAACAGCTTTGTTCTGACTGATTGACTGACTTATAGAGAATCATCAAAAAGCCAAAAATATAATAGATAAAAATGTGGAATTTTATATGGGGTTGCCTTTGGTTACAGATTATAACTACATATACAAGTATTGGGTGATTTACGTTGTCAGAGAGAACACACAATACTAGCATATTATTATTATTCATATAAGCAAAACTTAACTATAACAAAATGAATAAAGTTTTAATCATAATATAATAAGAGATGGAATTTGATGTGGGCAACAAAGTGCACAGGGACTGAAATTTGGCAAAGTTAACTTGGTAATATTCACCAATTCACTATGAAGTTAAATGCAATGCAGATATAAAATACCCACTTGTAGAACGTATGTTAACTATACTATTTTATTTGTATTTCTTAATTTTATTTATTATGATTACATTAATATGTATTCTCATAAAAATATCTATATACATGTTGTACTAAGTAGTAATCTGGGTCCAATTGGCAACTCACATGGAGTAGAGTCCACTTTATTATAGTTTATATCTTATTTAATAATGTTGTTTATATATTATACTCATATACAATATATACATATACATATTTGTCTATGATTCAGCCCCTATTTTTCAAAAATATTGGTACTACACATTTTATTTACAATGATATTAAGATACAGTGACAAAGAGAACCAAGAAATTAAATTAAAATTGGTATAGTCTGCAGTCAAATATAGGTATAACTTTTTATAAATTTAAGAAAATTAAAATCATACCACAGAAATAGTTAAAGGTTAGGTTCAACCTTCATAATAATTCAACAGGTCGATCTATTTTACTGATCTGCTGATTTACTGATTTAGGGCCATAGCGATAGCGGCCGTAGCATGGGCAAACAAAGTCCGAGTAACCCGGAGGTGAAAATCGACGGGGCAACCTGGAATTTGGAAGGGGTTTGTATGGGGGTATTATAGTGGCACTTGTGGAGTTTGAACTCATTCGGACTTTGTTTGCCCATGCTACGGCCGCTATGGCCCCAAATCAGTAAATCAGTAGATCAGTAAATTAGGCAGTACCTAATTCAACAGCGTGTTTATAACTTCTTTTATCTTTCAATTGTGGGATACAGCACGTTTTTTAATATGATGTAACGAAATGGATTGGTTAAAATTCTAGACACACCTATCTTATTGTGTCACATTTTTAATTATTAGTCAGAAATTTTATTATTTTAAGTTATTACTTATTAAATAGTTGTAATTAGTTAATAATATTATACTATTTTGTATACATATTATAGATCTTGGCAGTGGCGCCGAAGCCCATGCTGACGTCGGGCCGTGGCCCGACCTCTTTTTTGAAAAATGTGGCCGGCCGGCCATATTTAATTTACATCATAACTTTATTATAAGCATGAGTAAATTTAAACCGTGATTATGAATAAATTTATATTAGGGTACCTCTATATTAAATAATTAAGATTTTGAGGCCGGGAAGTTTTACAATTGCCCGACCACATTTTAAAAACTTCGGCGCCACTGGATATTGGTAATATACGTCATTATACATTTATACATCGATAACTTTTGGAAAAAATATAACAAAAGTGCCTTCACGGTAGTTGTAGGTGAATGTAGGAAAAAAAAGCCACCGAAAAAAAATCCAAGAAAAAAAATCCACGAAAATAATAGTAATGAATGTATTGATTTTACAATGTGTATTTTTTTATTTTTATTATAAATTTAATAAATTTACTTATTTAATATTTTTAACTTCTACTTTTCTGGTGGGAAAATATTTAAATACAAATTTTATTCTATATAACAATATAACTTAATATTGGTTCATATTGCAACATGTACTTTTGAAAAAAATCACCCTGTACAAAGTATATAATAATCAAAAAAAATGTAAAACAAGGTTTATAGAGGTATAGTATAACTTAATATTAATTGTAGTTCATACTGCAACAGTGCGGCATGTAGGTACCTACATTAAAAAAAAATCATATTCCTGTATCAAAGTAACCCCACAATACATTTTAAATTATATCTCGAAAACTATTTGACCAAATTTTAAATGGTTCGAGATTGATAGGTTTCATAACCTTTCCATTAATTTAAAATTAAAAAAAATAGTGGTTTCAAAGTCACCCCGAAGGCGGTATAACTTTGATAGCTATTTTCAAAATATAATTTAAAAAAAACCAATAGTTGAAAAAATTAAATTACAATTTGAGGAAATTGGTAAAAACAAACTTGAGGCAACAACACTATTTTTAGATCTGTGACATAAGTATCAAAGAAATTACAAGTAAAACAACAATAAAAAAAAAATGAACAAAATTTATCAAAGTCACCCCGATCTACGGTATGTTAAACATTTAAAAAAAGATTATTTAAAAATTATTAATTTATAATTATTATAAAATTTGGATTTTTTTTCCGTGGATTTTTTTCCGTGGCTTTTTTTTCTGACTACCGTTGTAGGTATGTATCTACCGACTATTCCGACTACCTGGTGTGTTCACTATTCACATCAAAGTAGAGAAGTAAAGATCAATTTGGTAAAATGTTACTGAAAAAAATTTATTTTTATTACCTATCATAAAAGATTTTCATTTTAAAAAATTCAATAATGTTGTATGCTACATTACTACCTAGTACCTTTAAATTATAATCTTTTATTTTTATAGTCTTATTTACACATTTTAAATTACGGATTACACAGTCTGTAGGGGTTCACTAAAAATAGAGGCTACCAGTGGCGCACACTGGAGGGTTCAAGGGTAGCAGTTGCTACCCCTGATTTTTTTGGTAGGTGGGTGGGTGGACCCCCTGGCTCCAAAATATTTACATCATGAAAATTCTATTACGTATAAAAATATTGAAAATAAACTATTGAATAGCCATTAGTCTATTAGCCAATATCTGGCTCTCTTTTTTATCTGGCCATTACTACATTTTCAAATTACTTCAAATAATTTATCTGTATTTATAAATTACGTTGATCGTAGATAATTAATTCGTACAACTATCCTATGGCTATTTAAATTTTAAAGCAAGATGCTACATTTTAATTAGAATTATGTGAGTTGCAAACAAATCTATTTTTATGATGTTTTAATGATTTTCTATTGTTGCATTGAAAATGTTGTCTATGCTCTGGCCCAATAGATTTTAAAGTTCTAAAAATTGGCCCTCTAGTAACTTTGAGTTGCCCATCTCTGCTATATACTAAAACAGTAAAACGTCCATATAGGTACTATTATACTTACAAGAGTGTTAATACTAAATAATATATAGTATGTGCTCAGTGGGACTGTGGAATACCGTTTAACCAATAAGTATTTACAATTTTAAACAATCGTAATGCAGTCACCGCTTGCGAATGTCGAATATGAGAATCTAACGAGCTATATTGTGCGGATCATGAATCATCATGATATAAACACAGAATAAAAACAATACAAATTATGTAAAGATTATTAAATTGTTATCTGTATAAACACTTGTGTATTAAAAAATAATAACAAACAACACTTCTTTTCGGATGCTACGGTCATTGGGTACGAAAGTTACGACTTACGAAATACGATTGCACGAGTTATAATATTCTGTTATATTAGACAGACACCTGTTGTTACTAATTGTCAACACCAGTTGCACCGTGTCACACTATCAAGCCACGGAGCACGAGACACGTCAGCAAAATATTGTTCTAACCTTAATTTTTTGGTTCAGCGTTGTAGCAGGTGTTTTGGGGTCGCTACTTTTTGTTCCAAAAAATATTTGTTCGATGGGACTTTTGTTCCAATTTTGGAACAAATGTTTTGTGGAACAATTATTACGAGCCCGTTTATAGTTTGTATATACGGTCTACTGATAAGATAAAATTGTATTCAAATAATATAAAGTTAATTTTTTACATTTTTAAACTTTTTATAATTAATATTAATAGGTAATTATAGGGAATATTTCAGTTGTAGACTTACGTGTAATACCCGTGTAAATATAAAATAATGATTTTTCATTCAATATCGTGAATCGTTCATTAAACTTTAAAAATGGCGAACAATGATTTGACTAGAGTAAAGGTAAGATTACTTATGGTTTTTTGTGTAAAATACCTACTTCAAACATAATTTTTTGTCTGTTTTTAGGGAACTTCTATTGTTAAACCAATTATATATGGAAACACTGCCAAATATTTTGGCCAAAAACGACATGAAGATGGTCATACTCACAAATGGTGTGTATATGTAAGGCCATATGTAAGTGAAGACATTGGCACCTGGGTCAAAAAAGTTCATTTTAAATTGCATGACAGCTATGAAAGTCCAACTCGAGTGGTGCAGAAACCTCCATTTGAGGTTTCCGAAACAGGCTGGGGCGAATTCGAATTAGTAATCAAGATATTTTTTCAAGATACGAGTGAAAGACCAGTAATGAAAATTCATGATATAAAAAAATGTATTTAATATGGTATTCACTATAACTTGACTATATTACTTTTTTACTTGGGGATTAATAATCAAAACTCATTCATTATCTTACCTATTTAACAAAAAATATGTATCTATTTAAAAGTTTCTAGTATGTAGTTGAGTTTATGGATAATAGCATATTTTATACAGATTTTGTTCTAATAATGAACATTCTTTATTTAAAAAAGTATACATTTTAATTTAGAAAGTTTGGAATTGCATTCAATTCATCATTTTTTATGTTATTGGATTGTTTACCTTTATATTTTACACTAAACTAATATCTATTTTGTTTTTTTTTTTAATGACAATATTTATATTTAGTATCAGAATTGGATACTTGAATAGTTGTATTAATATATTTTTGGGCATAAATGCAGTTTAGCTCCCAAACAATTTCTTTGAGTTTTTTTTTCAAAAGTGTGTCGCTCAATTCTTTCAAAAATCATGTTTTTGAATTTAAAATACAAAAAATTTAAAATCTTAAAATTTTTTTTTTTAGAAATGTTTGTATTTATATGCTCAGCAATTTGGTAGAATCAGAATTTGACTTTGTCAATAAGCCACATAAAACTGAAATATAAAGTTATTTCAAACATTTACATATTTGAGAAACTCAAAATTGATTTTTTTTATTCGATGAGTAATATCATAAATTACTTACTCATGCAGTCATGTCCCTCCCCCCCATTTTTTGTATTACTTTTGGTCTGATGAATTGCATTTGTTCCCAATAGTTTGACATTGTAATTGTTCTGTTAATTTTAAAACATTTATATTTAAAACACATTATAAATTTAACACGTTCAATTTCATGGTCAACGGGAATTCGACATTGGTAACGTAGCTCGGGTCACCTTTGTTGACCGTACGTAATTTTGACTCGAGCTTTGCGTCGAAAACTCTAACGGAACTCAATGTGTAAACCAATTTTTCCCAAACCAAAAAATATAAGTTAGTTCTGATTTCACCAAAAACTTATTTATGTTATTACTCATCGAATGAAAAAATAAAAAATCAATAAAATCAATTTTGAATTTCTCGAATATGCAAATGTTTGAAATAACTTTATAATTCAGTTTTATGTGGCTTATTAACAATAACGTAAAAAGTAAGTATGATAGGCAAATTCTGATTGCACCAAATTGTTGAGCATATAAATACCAACATTTCTAAAAAAAAAAAAAATTCTAAAATCTTAAATTTTTTGTATTTTAAATTCAAAAACACGATTTTTGAAAAAATTGATCATTTTGAAGTTTTTTGACCATAACTTCCAAAATAAGTTCGATTGGCTTTTTTTGAAAGTACCATTGAATTAGGCATGCAAAAACACACATTTTGAGAAAAAAAAATTCAAAAAAATCGCTTGGGAGCTAAGCTGCATTCGTTCCTATTATTGAATTAAATGAAAAATATAATAGTTTAAAGTTTTTTATATAAGATGCTCTTGTTAAATTAAACTTGCACATAACTATTATTTAATAATTTATGTTTATTATAGTGATTTCTATTAAAATATTTGGGACTCGCGTCGTATGTTATCTACTTTTTGGGTGATATACTGATATCTATGTTGTACAGAGACTGACATTGCCGGTATAATTAACGTACAACTTTAACACTCCACAGTCTACACTTTACACATTCGTCTTCAGTGTTGAGTGTCATATAAAATTATGGATCACGAGTACAGGGTCCATGGGTGTTAGGGACTGTACTGTTAGAGCTCAGTTACTTCCAGGCCCTACGAGAGTGCCCGTAGCCGGGCCATGTCCACCAGGTCTTATTTTGAATATGGCCTGGATTAGTTTGACCCTGGGGCCCTTTTCATCTCTCCATAGCCCTGGTTACTTCCAACTATTAAATGTGAAGTAAAAGTTGGGTTCACAATTCACTTTTATGAATGGAGGAACTTAAGTGACCACAGAGATATGCATGAAACTGTAAATCTCCTGCTTCATTTCATTGATCCGGAAACAGGGGCCAATACTCAATAAATAGAATCTTCATGAAAACATGTCAAAGTCAAATACCTACGGCATACAACACGTGGTGCAACCAACTTATTGCAACGGCAGTTGATGGACTCACAGCTCACACAATGTCTCCAAGAACTTTTCCGAACAATTCTTTGAAGACATGAAAAGAACATCTTTGATGTAGAAATGCTCAGATGACAGACACCTACATATTAAGGGGTGAAAGATTGTAGATAACATATGTTGCGAGTACCAAATATTTGCTTTTTACTTATATTTTACAATGGTATATGGTTTTAAAATTAATTTTTTTTCCATTGTAATCTTTTATTTAAAAATTTAAATTATTTAATTGTATAATTTATAGGTTACACTTTATCATGTACTTAAGCTGTACAGTAATGGACAAGACTCCGAACTAAGTGAAAAACCAGTTTTGTCAGAATTTTATGAGGAAATTATTTTTCAAGATCCATCAACTTTCATGAAATTTATACTCAATGATACATTGAGTAAAAATCCTCCAATTGATGAAAAAAATCTACATTGTATGTACTTTTGTTATCAATTATACCTTAATTTTTTATACATACAATTTTTTTTTAGATGAACGCATAAAGAAGACCACAGTTGAAAAAATGATAAAATCTAGAAAAAGAGTACAAGAACATACAGTTATGTACAAAGAACGACTAAAAAAATTAAGAGAAACGATAAATAAATTTAAAGATGAAATTTGTGCATTGCAATCACAATGTAGTTCATCAACATTGCGATAAATAAAAACTAAATAGAACCATAGCTATAAGTTATAACTGACATCCTTTCTCAAATACACAAATATTAGTCACATACTTATTTATTATATTTAAATCTGTGTTTATTTTTTAAGATTATATTTTTTAAATATTACTCAAGACTTCTTTATGAAATAAAACATTTTACATACAGTGAGGCACATTTTTTCTCAACATGTAACCCACATTTGTACTAAACGTAAACTGGTTGAAGTAGCTTGTCAACTACACAAACTTATAAAAGTGTTTAGACCTCATGTCATCCTTACGACTTACGAGTACAATAAACGAAAAATAAAAATAAAATCTTATCTGACTTTTAATTTAAAACAATATATTATATAATACCACCTGTGTCCTGTTAGTTGTTACATTCATGTTTAATTTTTTGTGAACAACGCCCAGGTTAGAAATAATAATATAGACTAAGGGCCGCTTTCAACAAATACTTTAAACTTCGATTACGCTTAATCGACTGATAACAGATATTTAACCTGGTGAATTCGGCCAATTAAACCCCGGTTTAACTTTAATCGAAGTTTAAAGTAGTGGTGAAAGTGGCCCTTAACAAATTATATATTGTATCACCATTTACTGGTTGTTTTCTTTTATGTATGTCAACTGTCAAGTGATATCACATAATATTTTAATATTGCACTCAATATGATCATTGTAAATATTATATTTGTATATTGTAATAGGTATACGGTATACACTATGTATAAAATAAAGTTAAAAATAATAAATAATATATTTAAGTTTGTATTATTAAAAAAAAAAAATTCAAATATTATGTATGTAAAATACAATTTTGTGAATAGTATTATATTTTGCTGAAAAAATAAAGTTATGAAAATAAATGTATTGCATAACATATTAACATTATATAAAAAGCTACAAATACCTATGCTAAAAAATACAATGTATAGGATTTTCTACCACTGTTGGCCCATGAATATGAATTTTAAGATCAAAAGCTCAACCTGATAATGTTTAGAGTTAGTTTTGAAATTATACGTCTTAAGTCTTTGTTATATTTATCAGTTATTCAGTTATTAACTTGATAATGACTCATAAAGATACACTATTAAAATTAAGAAACAAGTGATTTTTGTTAGTATAAAGTAAATTATTAATAAATTAATAACAACGATAATTAAAGTAGTTTTTCCACATTTGGGAAAATCTTTATAAATATACGAATTAAGATTTAATATATAATTACAATAATGGAAGGTTTATTTGTAGCTAACAAATTAATTTCCCAATTAGTGCAAAATGTTTTATATATTATATTTATATAACTATACAAGGTGATTCTTTTATCATGAAACACTCATTATTTCAAAAAGGATTAATGTTTTGAAAAATATTTTTTTTTACATAGTTTCAAGTTGTTAAAAAAATAAAGTTTTTTATAAAGAATCATATTTTGAAATACCTATCCTTTTACATTTTTAAGTTTTTTACTTTTTTGAATGACATGTTTTTGTTTCATATTCCAAAGCAGAATATTTTCTAAGTATTTTTATACATTAAAATCAAATTTAAGACGAGTAGTTTATGAGTTATAACTTAGAAGTATTTAAAGTTTTGACAAGCGGAGTAGTGGACAAACATTTTAGGGGGGAACCCTGTAGTCCGTACCACTCCTCACCAACAATCAAATATAGTTATTAGCACGATTAAAGATATATCTATTTAAGATAGTTATTAGTAATAAATCTGTGAGCAGAAGCATGTAAATAAACATTAATTATTATCAATGCCGCCGTGATTACACATTGATTGTCCTTATCAATACATTATGACACAGACACCATTGCTGATAATAGATATCTTTATTATCTATGACAGACAGAATAATAATAATTGGTACGGTTTTAGCAGTTTTAGATAACATTCACTATTCAGTGTCACAGTGATAATGAACTTTAGTACTATTGTACTTTAATATTGTAAATTATTGTAATATAATTAATAATTAATTAGTTAATAATATATAACAATAACATCAATTAAATATTCAAATTCCAGATTCTCATTCTTTTCGATTTTAAAAAATCTACTTTAACTTTGCTTAAATTAAAACTTAATTTGATACCTATCTAATTTATTATTGTAAAACTTTTTGCAATTTTCTTTATACACACTACCTATTTAAAATGTTTAAAAATACAATAATGTTGACAGTTAAAATCGTTAAATATTGTATGAAGAAAATTGATAATTCTCCAATAAGTCCATCTTTTTGTTTTCTCCAATAAAAGTATGACATCTGCAATGGCATTTCTTTCATGTATAAAATTATGGTATGTATTTAATGAAAAAATAGTTGTGTATTTATATTAATTAGCTTAACTGAGTATATACTGCACCAAAAACCAAGTATTTACCTGGATAAAAAGTACTAATCTATTTGTTAAAGACTATCTGAAAAATTAGATTTTGTCTTAACCTATGTTGTATATCAGCGATTCCCAACCTCGGGTCGCTACCCAAATTAGGGTCTCCGAAGTTTTTATGGTGGGTCGTGAAATCATTACTTACAATTTACATATTATTATATTTTCAAAAAAAAAAAAAGTATATTCTAATATTCCTGAAATATTCTAATAATAAAGCCTATTGAGCCTTGACGCTCAACACGATATAAGATGTGTACTTACAATGAATATAAATCTTAACATTGAAGAACTTGTGGAAAGTGTTCAGCATCAAGGAAGTCATTAAGATTAAGTATAAATTAATTCCAAGTTATATTTGAAACTATTAATAAATTAATTTTTATATAACAAATTGTATTTAAGTATTTCAGAATACATAATAAATATATATAATGAATATACATATTTACCAATTTGATGATAATAATAAATAAATGAATGTTGAGTCTGCTACTATGATTTTTTTTTTTTTTTTGGTCGTCAAAAGTTAAATTTAAAATGTTAGGGTCACGCTTATAAAAGGTTGGGACTCGCTGTTGTATATTGTAAAAAATTATTTATGTAAAATATTTTATGGTTTATAAAACTAAAATAAGACCTAAACTTATTTATTTATTTTAATTTTTGATAATTTTCTAGAATATAATTTGTATATTAATCAATAATTTATTGATATTTGTTTAAAAGCTTATTTTCTTGTAATTATTAATTTGTAAGTGATAAATATTTGAATAAAATAAGTTATTATGTGGTATGTTTTAATGTTTAGAGTTAACTATTATATTTACAACATAAATATTAATTTTATATTATTTTTAGGTTTTCCATTTTGGTGTCTATTATTACAATAATTGTTTTACAAAATGTATTACCAGCATTATCTAATTTTAATCAAAATATATCTTCTTTAAGTACTTTTATTAACAATAGTCTTGGATATTGCTTAATATTAATCCCTGGATATTGGCTTTACAAATTTTCAAAAAAACAAGATTTGGGAGGTAAAGTATTAAAGTTGATTGTTTAAATTAATTTCATGCTCAAATTATTTAAATAATTTAATTTAAAATTGTAATTACTATTTTAATGCAAAACAGACAACCGCTTAACAAGTAAATTGTTAAAAACATTGTTTGGAGATAAGCATGACTTAGAACCAGAACAACCTTTATCGCCCAGTTACAATGGACCAGCTAATTTTAGAAAAGATGTAATAACCTTTGTATACTGTTTTGGAGGCTTGCAAGTATCTTATTTAATTTGGGGTGTAATTCAAGAAAAAATGATGTCTGAGGTAATTAAGCATTATTATATAATAATTTAAGGTAATCATCATTGATTAAATTTTCTTCTTCTATAATTATTTGTTTTTTTTATTAGTCCTATGGTATAACTGAAGCATCAAAGTTCCGTGATTCTCAAATGTTGGTGTTTTTGAATAGAGGTTTATCTACAGTTTTATCTGGTATATTTTTATTTATGAACGAGGGCATACGATCCAAGAAATCACCACCTTTATATAAATACAGCTATTGTACTGTGTCCAACATTATAAGTTCTTGGTGTCAATATGAGTCACTCAAATATGTCAGTTTTCCTACGCAGGTATGCAGAACTTATCTTAAGGATGTTTACTATACCATTTTATATTCTAAATATTATCAAGGTATTAGCAAAAACTTGTAAAATTATACCAGTTATGTTAATGGGAAAATTAATGTCTGGTAAAAAGTACCAATACTACGAGTATGTCACAGCAATAGGAATTTGGATTGGTATGGCTATTTTTCAATTTTTTACAGAAAACAAACATTCTGGTAAATACTGTAATCGTTTTTGATTTTTAATTGGGGTTAGCTTATTCATATGAACATTTTGAATGTATACCCCGTATTTTTTTTTTTCTTTAGACATCACAACTTGTGCGGCTGGAGTTATCTTGCTTGTAGGATACTTAGCAACAGACAGCTTCACATCAACGTGGCAAGGGAAAATGTTCACACAATACCAAGTTACGTCAATGCAAATGGTGTTTGCTAATTCATTATTATCATCACTTCTTACAACAATACCACTGTATCAAGTGGGCTCGTTCAAAAAAACATATGAATTTATTAAAGAGGTGTTTTATTGACATTGATTTTAATTATTGTATGCACAAAAAAAGTAACACATTTTCTATTTTAGTATCCAGCATTTTTAACTGATTGTATAGTTTTGTCTGTAAGCTCTGCATGTGGGCAACTATTCATATATAAAACTATTTCTAAGTTTGGACCAATCGTGTTGACTATAATAATGACCATAAGACAAGTAAAAGGAACAATTATTTAATAATAATAAAGTATATTTTACCAAACTTAATTTTATGTACATATAATTAATATTTTCCTAAATATCAATCACATATTTGTACTTGTAATGTCATGACTATATTTTATATTTCGTTTTGGTAATTTTGCCAACTATTTTTATGCTAAAAATTAACTAAACAATCGATATAAAAATATTTTGTATTATTTTTCAGGGTCTATCAATAGTAATTTCCTGTATAAGATACCATCACCCTATTGGTATAATGGCTGCACTCGGAATCGTTTTTGTTTTCGTTTCAGTATTTGTACGTTGCTATTGTCATTTCCGTATCAAATCAAAAAAAGTTCCTAATCATACAACATTTAAAGTATAAATGAAGGTAATAACTAGTTGATGATTTTTTATAAAAAATATCTTGTGTTTATGTACAAATAAAAAGTAACAAATAATTATTGTTTTAAAATTACAATTTCATGTTGTTGAATCACTGCTTTTGAATGTCAGTAATGATACAATGCCAAAGAACACCTGAGTTGCTTGAAGCATGAGTTGTATGCATCCTAGGATATTTTCCAGCCGGAAAGTTCTTTGTTGCCACAACAAAAAATACAGTACTCCTATGGCTGATGGCACAGTTAGAATGAGTGACAGGACGACACATATTGCCTTGTCGGCCGCATTTTCCCGGCGTGATAGAAACGTGCGGAACACCTCGATGAGACAAAGAAACACAAATACTGTCATATTAGTCCCGAGTTCGTTTAGAGAGACTGACTTTTTTTGAGCATCATCTATTGATTTGGCGCATATAAGTGAGAACTCAAACATAGAGAACATGCCAAAGTAATAGGAATTAAGGTACATTAACACTTCGAACATCAGAGGTGCTTCCATTTTGCATTACAAAATTATTTTTACACGAACAAGAAACGTTAGCCGTGACACGCAGTCTGCAGAGTTACTAACTTACTACGCTCAAATACTGTATTGCTATCTGGCTATTTTCGTCCACATGGACTGACCCTGGTAATCAATAAACTACAATGTTGCCTGGGTTGTATCACAAAATGTTACAATTCGAAACAAGGGAATTATTTTTTAACTTCATATACATTTTTTCGTTTCTTAACCCTAAATATAATACACGTTTTCGTGTATTTTCGAATTAAGTGTTTAAGGCACAACGTATATTAATGATTAAAACGCAAGGGATTCTTACGTTCGTTATTTATTACGGTTTATTCGTTTCTTGTTGCGCATCGAATTTTGAGTACCCCTGAACTTTCGTTGCGTAGGTATATTACGATACAGGGCGTTTGAAAACCCATTTTTAAAATGACGTGATTTTTAACTTTTTTTTTATTAAACTAGTAATTTATTGTATATTTTAATTTTAAAAATAGTAGGTAAACCTTTATCCATGGGTAGTATAAACTAGGTGAAATTGTGTAAAATATTAAAATTATCGTTTTTATTTAGAAAAAAATATCTAAAATAAATAATAATTAAAGATTATTTATAACAAATCTAATAAAATAGATACGGAGGACAAAAAAAAATAAAAAAAATATGATTAGCTTTCTAATTTTTGACACTCTTCTGCCCATTCTTCGGAGAAATTCTTTTCCAAAAGATTTTTAAAGTCCTTAAATGTACATGGGTTACCGCAAATAGGTATTGAGACTTCTTTTCCTTCTTCATTGTCCCAACGGTCGTAATAGAACATCTATAATAGAGTTTAAAATTATAGGTAAGTACTTATGCCTGCACATTCAGTTGCAGTTAGGTACACTGTAATCAGTGGCGTATTTAGGATTTTGCTGCCCTGGGTAAACATTTTTTTTTAATGCCCTTTTCCCCCACCGGTTTCTTTTATAGTGGCAATTTTTCTCACCCATAAAAAAAACGTACAACACTATATGTGTCATGTGATGTAATGTTAATATAGTATCATGCATGTTATCGTAAGTACTCTCAGTAGCAACCACGATTTAAGATAAATGATATATATAGTAAGTAAGTATATCTTTAATCGTGGGTAGCAACAGGTTACGAAATAATCAAAACGAGTTGTAAAATGTATTAATTAATTTTTATCTATTTTTAAAACAGTGAACGTATTAAATATGTATATTTCATGAAAAAGACATCGAAAAGGGCCGCATTATGAAATGTGGCCTTATTGCATTCAAATCATGGTTAAAATTAATATACATTTTTATAGAAAACGACCGAACCGTCCAATGATAATAATTTATTTATAATTAAAAAAAATATTACATTAACACGTATCTACAAATTATTATAAATTTATAAAATTATTATTAATAAATACTATTTCTGGCAAGTTTAAGTTTTTAAAAAGTACCTACAATATCAAACTACAAGATATTTTCAAATACAAATTGTTGTACTTGTATGTGGCTAATGATAACTTGCAAAATTACTGTAGCCTATAATGGCTATTAAATATTAAAAACGCTCTCCTGTTCCTGTATAATCTAGGTAGGTATCATGTTTGATACACAGCCCTCTTGGCCTCTTGTAGTTTGTACTGACAGTACGATATTACCAACATCATATCCCTCAACTCGCAAGACATTTTTAGTTTAGGCCACATATATAGATAGTATCTATATCCGTGGTTTAGGGCGTTTAGGCACAGAACCATAGGTTTAGGTATTCTATGACAAACCAATAATATGCGCGCATATTATTAGATGTAGATAATATTGATTGCACAGAATAGCTTTGTTTAGGTATATTAAGGTATTAATTGAACATTTTGCTGACATTGATTTACTTGATTGCCTAAATCATTTATATCCGTTTTTGAAAAATAGTTCCCACAAAAATTTGCTCCCCAAAAAAGTAGTGCCCGGGGAAATTTCCCGCTCCCCCTAAATACGCCACTGGTTGTAATTATAAAATGTTGCTGCTAATATTACTAATGTATTATAGTCTAGTACGACATAGGTGAATTATAATTTATAATAGGTATCATACTTTGATAGTGTGTTCATTCATTTCGTCGTGATGATACAAATGGAAATGCAACGAAGCACCAAAATCGGGCAAATTAATAGTATTTCCTAGAAAGCTCATTGCCATTTCTACACTAATATCGTGTCCTGAATAAAGATGCATTTTTCTAGTTCCATTATAATTATTTGAACTCGATTCCATGCTCAAACCAATTTCATTTAGCAGAGGCCCTTCGACATAATAAACAAATTTCCAAATTATTATTTCGAACCTAAAAATTCGTTATACATAGGTACATGTATTTAAAAAAAAATTATATTGGGAAGATTCCAATTTCCAAATTATACTTTTTAAGAAACCTTGAAGAAATTTTAAGAAACTGCAGTCTGCAAGCAGTTACATTTTTTGTATTATTCTTCTTTATAAATTAAATTTATACAAAGATTATCTACCCTTTTAAGATAAATTTGTGGTGGGGAATTAGGGGTAGCTAGGGTATTAGATATTAGTTATTACAAACAGAATTATTATAAACGAACATTTAGAAGTAATAATTGTATAAAATAAAACAAACTTGTAGCATAGGTACGGTCATTGATTTTATAATATATAGTATAGGTATTACAAAACCAATTTTACGACTGATCATATACAGGGGCAGCTCCAGAGATATGGTTAGGGGGGGGGGGCAAGTAATAATTTTTTCAGACTATTTCGATGATTTTTTTGGTAATTTTGTTTTTAACAGCATACAATTGTTTAGAAATACAGCTGTGGGGAGGGGGCGGCCCCTAGAGCCACTACTGACATATACCACTATACCTCATCTATTTTAAGTTAACATAGGCTATGAAAATCGAGCCTCACGATGATCATTGCGCATGCGCAATTTTGCTTATTTATAAGTCGCTTACTCGCGTGCATTCTCGTACATGCACTTGTGTGTGCACTCAGCAGTAGCGTATACAAGGGATGACGTACGTTAGATCCCCCCCCCATTTACTTTGAAGTGATAATCTTCCATATTGTGTTTGATACTTTGTAGTGAATTTGAACCAATTCAAATTATATTCATTGTTCCTTATTGTTAAATATTTTTCTACCTACGTAAGAAGTTTTGAGGAGGTGGGGGATTTTTCAATTTCCCCTCCCATTTAGCTATGTTGTTTTCTTTTTTTGATCCCCCCGCTTTCAGAAATCATGTCTACGCCATTGCATGTGAGTAATTTATGTAACAAGTACTGAAGTATTAAATCAAAGGCGACGTGTGACGGTGCTTATATTTTGACGTCATCGGAACATTGCCCCCGGGTGAAATAGGTACCAGCCTTTGTTTACGTAATAATTATCTCGTGCATTTCTTATCGGTTTATCGCTATTTTTGGTAATAATTGATAAACACGAAATGATATACAATATAATAATTATTAATAAATGATAATTCATAATTCAATATTCATATTGTTAAACTTCGTAATGAAGAATTTTTTCTCAAATAAAATCATAAATACATTAAAAATTATTATTGAAATATGTGCTATAGGCGAGCTAAGAAGTATGCTTTTTGAGTATTATTTATTTCAACACTTAAGGCTAGGCGCTGCCTCACTGGGCGCTCACGAATTGCCTCACTTGCCTAACCTCCAAAAAGCCAAAACCGCTACTGCTACTAAAGTATTAAATGGACAATAACAACTTTACTTTGCAGAACACAACAATTTAATTTTTAGTATAAAGTGGAACCTCGATTATCCGGGGTAATAGTGGGGAGGGGGTCACACGGATAAATGAAAACCACGGTTAATCGAGACTTTTTATAATAATACAATTTTTTATTTTATTATAGGTAATTAGAAATTCGTTAGTCGCGCTAGTTCGTCGCGGTCGCACGCGTCTTTTTGACCGCGTTATAATTTTTTTTTTTTTTTTAATGAGTAAAAAGACAATCTACAATCTATACAACATATATGCACATTAATTAGATGAGATAAAAGAGTACAAAACAAACAACAATGAATATTATGATTTAAATAATTTTTAAGAATATAATTGTGATATCTCGGCGATGAGTCCGAAATTGTTTGATTAAATATTATGATATTTTTATTTTTATTATTGACTGCTGCTGTTATTATCGTGATTATAAAGTAAACGAAAGCAATATTACCACTGGGGATGGCAAAAAATGGCAAAATATCGATATATCGAAAAAACAAAATTAAAATAATTAATTAAAAAAAATAATAAAATTAAGGCAAATGGTCCCTGTCAATGAAGCGGGTTGAATTTAGTTAAATTTGTGATTGATGTAGCAACGCATATGATGGGCCACCAAACCTAGGACTTTGGAGAGATTTAAAACTATATTGTGCGGCGATGGAAATCACGACAATCAGGCACTGATGGCGTTGCAGGTAACTGCGATCGTGGACGACAATTTCGATGATTGTTTAATCACTATTATAGTCCTCGTACAAATTTCGAATTCACGTGTCAAGTGAAATACGAGTTTATTCAAAATATATATCCGTGTCACGGATACACGGGTGCAAAAAAACACTTGTTCCATTGAGACATCTAATATATCTACAGTCCATACTTATTTTTAAATTTTCGGAAGAGTGAGCACGGTTAATCGCGAATACGTATAACCGAGTCACGGATAATCGAGGTTCTACTGTATTCTAATTTTAACGGTCTTAAGACTTAATATAAGTAAGAAGACAATAGTAATAAAACTTAAGTGTATTTTAAGATGTTGTGTACATTGTACCTTTACATTTTTATTAATTCATCACTATATAGATAAATAAAATTTTAATATTAATCATTAAGTAGCTATAAGTAGGTACTTTGTACTTAACTTCATTCCTATATCGGAATGTATATTTATGAGTTAATTACGGAAATTACGGTTTAAATTTGAAATATATTAGATTGTTGCAATAAAACATTTTGCTTACCTATAACAATTTTCTGAAATCCATAATTTTCAAAAAACCTTTTTGAACTTTGTTCATTTATAACAATTGGTTTTATTGTTTCAATGTGGTAAGGTTCTATCCATTCCAGTTGTGGTAAACCATCAGCTTTCTTTAGGAATAACGCAATAATATAAATATAATATATATATAATAGGTATACAATATAAAATTAATCTATATACCTATTTAATATTTAAATGTTTGTTTAATATACATACCCGACATATCAATAGGTCATAAAGTTTCATTATATTCTTATGAGTAATCGGTTGTCCGCATTTTTCAGACAAATACGACATTAATGCTGTTATATTTTTGTCAGTAAGGTTGTCTGATTCATTACGTAACTTGATGACCATAGAATCAAAAGCCGGACATTTTCCTCGCTCATTAAATAACTGCAGAAAAAGGTAAGAATGAATCATTATAGTTTACTGAAATGAGAGGCTTATTATTATACGAACAAGGCTTGGTGTACAAGTTTAATTTATTTATAAGCTTTTAATACTATGAGAGTCAATTTTTTATTTTTGAACTAATTACTAATTACTATCGTTTACTAATTTAAGGGTTATTTTTATAATAAGAAAGAGGAGGGCTTACAATTTACTAGATTTATAGTTAACAACCATATAAGTACCTATATACTATAATATAATATATTATCAAGCGTGTTATTAATCTCAATTTGATATTCAAATATTATTTTTATTATACAATGTACTTCAACTTGCAAGTTGCACCCCTGGAGTTAAGGGAATATTGAGCGGGTCAATAAAGACACTGAAAAAATGCGTTAAACAAATTTGTTTTCTCTCACAGATCCATATGCAACATAGTTCATACGCATTCAGGTAAAACCAGTTTTTATGATTTTTGAGTAATCTTAGAGTAAAATTCCAAAAATCATAGAACATAATATTTTTGAGGGTGTGACATATTAGTTTTAGATTTTATGGTTATTTGACTTTATATTCAATTTTATAAAAATAAATATTGCAGATTTAAATGAATGTTAAAGTGTTTTGAAACAGTATTTTAGACGAATCGGTATGTCGTACTCAAATTTTATAATAGGCGATTTTACTCTGAGATAACTCAAAAACATAAAAAAAAATATTTTGAGCGAACGCGTTTTGTCTATGTTGCACGTGGGCAAGAGAGAAAATAAACAAAGCCCTGAACAAAACATCCTTATAAGAGCATGGATCCAATAAGACAAGTCCCAAAGATGATAATTGGTCAATTAGTCTGTAGATTTTTTAATGCCAATACTTCATTTTACAAGTTAGTATAAATAACACAGTAGAAATACATACTATTTCTGAAAAAATACTTATGTTCATGGTTCATCAAAAATATAAGTTAATACCTACCATCTCATTTTTAGGTACACCTGCGCCCCACTGTCACTTCATCTATTATTTTTATAATATGTGTAAAATATATTCAAATAGTATTTAAAGTAAATACATACTGTTCCGTGATCTGGCGAATCGCCGTAAATAGGAATAGGTTGCCACACAGTTTCTGAGTTCGACCATTTTTGATAACCTTTTGGAGGATACATTCCAGCTAAAACCATTGCTGCTGACATGAACGTCCGACTTGTGTTGGTAGTTTTGACTAAAATCTCACTTTCCAAGTATAAATCACTTAAGAAACCATTGTATAAGCGTCGAAATATTTGTCCTTTTTTGTACATATTTTGCTTTCCTTTCTGTTGATTAACATTTAACACTGGTTAATAATACCATACACATAGCTTTATAATCTACACTTTAGTTACGAATTCGGAATTCGTACATCATATAGATAGGTATTTTGTTTTTTTTTTTTATTGTGATCGAAAAGAATGGGTAGATAACCGAATATGTATTGGTTTTTTTATTTTTTTTTTTTTAATTGATTCTAGTAGAAAGAGAGTTTCGAAATATTTTTGTTACCTTATTTATCGATTGATAATTAATTAATTTAGTACTTGTTACATTTAATAGATAGGTGCTTTTTTGATTCTTTCATAAATTCAAAACAATGGAAACATTGGAAACAAAATACAAATAAAAAATAACCTTTATGCCATTGTACCCGATTTTATATGAAATACATTTTGATTATTTTATGGACAGTTGAGTATGAGTCAACAGAGCTTTACCAATAGTTATTAATATTTACCAAAGTTATAAATATATCTAATAAATTACAATCATTCTTTTCAATCGATTTAAGTTATTAAAATCTACACTGTTATATAAAATAAATACTTTATTGTTTCTATTCAGCATGCTCTTATTATTTAAAGAATCATAAAAAAAATGTAAAAAAAAAATGTTTAACTATTTCTCAATTCGTTCAGAATCTGAATCGTAAATTGTTGTTGACGTACTATGATAAAAAAATGTATTTAAGTTTCTATTAATGATTGTAAATATTTTATAACATTGCAAAGATTAATTTATACGTACTTTAGTTAGTTCCAGTTTTCCTTCGGGAAAAGTATTCTTGTGTGGGTCGGTGTTGCATTTGAACTCTGGCGCTCTGTTTCCATGGCGGAATAGCTGCAGTAAACATTTATTAGAGAAGTATGTACATTTTAAATAGTTTTTTTTGAACTGCAGTAAGTAGTAAGTACCTATACCTAACGTTTAATTCTTAATACAGTCAAACTTCCATGTAACGAACTTGAAAATTGTCTGTTTAACGAAGTACTTTTGAGAATCAAACCAAATTAGAAACAAATTTATTCAATTCTATTTAATTAAATTCTCTATAGAACGATTTTTTTTATGGTCCATGTAACTTCTTAAAATGGAAGTTTCACAGTACCTATCTTGATTCGTCTATATTGAACTAAATATAATTTTTATAGGATCTATTTTAAATAGTTAGGTGAAGTAGGTACATTATTGACATTTCTAAGAATTTAAATATTTTTGCTTTTGAAACATGATTTTGACTATTTTACTATAAAATATAAATACATACTATGGCGACGAATTTGAGTGAAGGATCTGAAAATCGTCCTGGTTCAACGACGTCGTTACTTTGTTGTTTCCATCGTACAGTGAACACGTACTGGACACTGCAGACGACAATAATGACAGTTAAAGACACACCAACGACGAAGGCAACCTTTTTGAGATCGAATGCCATCCCGTGAACGTACTAAAAGTTATAACATACGACGTTCGTTGCCGATTCGCGTATTGAATTGGTTATAGTTTTTATTTTTATAAAAACCGGCATGCACCAATTACGCGTTGTTTATATAATAGTGTAGACCGTTGAGTGTTTGTTCAAATCTTAGAAGAAAATAGGTAGTATATTTTCACAATTTAAAAAGATAAATTTATTACACAATAGATATGTTGTATTAGGTACTATATGGACCAAATAGAGTCTAGTAAATTGGATCCGAATACATTTTTCTTTTTATAACTCGGAACAGGTGATGGAGGTTATCTACTGTATCTAAAATCTAAATACAGATAACATAATATAGGTAGGTGACTAGACAAGCAATTATTGTTAATGATTAATGGTACTGTTTATACGTCAACTTCATCTTAGATTTTCATCGATTTTACGTTTTTAATCGTTTAAAATTGTTAGATAATTAATATTTTATTTGAAATAAATTATTATAAAATCAACTCCAATATTGTAGAAAAGGGGTATTGACTTCTAAAATTTTTTCGGTGAAAGGCCTTTTCTTATTTTTATATAACCCATTAACTCCCCTTAATTTCTCACATCAAAAGTTAACATTTACGTAGTCAAATACATTATAGTTATAATAATTTATTTTTGAACTTATTCACCAGAGAAAAATGCATATTATTACAACTATAGGTATTATTATAATTTATAACCTATTATTATCTCGCCGACTTACAATAAAAAGCCGCATATAAGTAACCACTGTGCTGTTAGCTTACCTCGTCAACAAATATTTTTTACTGTAAAACATATACCTATCGCTCCACTCAGAATCTAAAATATTTGTTTAATCTAATGTTTAATTTACAAATATTAAAAATAAACGCTTTTTGCCACCACAATTATTTTGAAATCTCATTAAAAATACGACTTTCGTTCAAGTTGTTTTATTTGATAACAATTTGTACCTAGTATCGACCTTCATCAATACGAAAGTGAACACAATCTAAACGCGTGCTTTCCGAACACTTGAGTACTGAAAACTGGAATTAATATATTTTGTATGCATATGATTTGGATGGCCTTATTTTTTACTTTATTATTTCTTACCCCAACGTTTTATAATATCATCTATGTACAGAGGTTTTATTTTAAATGATTTAAACTGGTGGAAAATATTCGTAGTATTTAAAATGTCATGAGATAAAAAATTATCGTTGATCATTAAATAAGTAAAATTAAATCATAATAGACCAAACCTTCTTGAGTCTCCGTCACTGACTAATAATATTACATTATCCAAATATCCAATTACATATCATAATCTAAATTGTTTTCAGCATTAATTAATCTCCTCATCGCGGTATTACGAACAATAGTATAACCTAACCATAGTATTATTATTATTTTTTCATAATCTCATTACCTTTAATTATAATGGCATTATATAATATATCTAAATAGATTATGTTATTAATTGTTCGGTACATTTTAATTGAACTTTTATATACCTATTATAATATATTAATATCGATTATTTTTAAATTATGTCATTATATATTATATTAACTAAGTTTACCTATTATTATGTAGGTATATATTCAAATTTATGTATGCTATACGCTTTAAGTGCTGAGCTATAATAACTGATTTTTAATAGCTATAGTAAAAACATAAAAAAAATAAAGTTTAGAACAATATCAATTCTAACCTCAGCTATAGACTATAGTTGTTCAAGGTACATTATTCGTAAATGATAAAATAGAATAATATTATAACATTAAACATATTATGTTTCGTTTTTACTATTGTTGGATCCCTAATTCGATAATTCATTCAACTTTTCGTAGTTATAGAATAAAAATATATTATTTTTTATAACTAGGGTAGGAAAAAATATTTTTAATTTTCATGATAGTATTTCTTAATAAATAAACAATATACATTGTTTAAAATATTTACTTTTAAAACACAGTGTTTATTACAACAGGATTATTTTTACAATGTTTAATAGCTACTAATTTAATAAAATTTAACTTTGGGCTGCATTGGGTAGACAAAGGAATAAACTAAAATAAGAAAATATTTCATAGGTCGTTGTATATTTTTTGACACTCATCTTCCCATCTTCCAGAGAAATTATTGATCAAAAGTTTTTTGAAGTCCTCAAATTTGCAGGGGTTACCACAAATTGGTATTGAGATTTCTTCACCCTTTTCATTGTCCCATCGATCAAAATAGAATACCTAAAAATTGATAATTATTTCAGTTACTAGGTAGTTAGTAGTTGCTATAAAATTGTCTACCAAACCTAATTTTGTATTAGTTAAAATTTGATCGTCGTCAAATAGTTTATGAATAATATTATGATATTTGATAAAAAATAATAATTAACTATAGATAATAGGTATTTTATCCTAAAAGTAAAGATCTCTTGTTAGAGCTATAGGTATATTAATAACCATACGGTTTATGTCGACACCAATAGTATTTTGAACCTATAGTGAGCTTATAATCTTTGCTGCCGTCCCTGATCATATTATGTGTCATTTTGACTATATTGACTATTGCTCATTGCTTTATTTAATAATTATTTATTAGGCTGCTCTGTTTTTCATGCAGTGTAGTCTTGTAGTCGTAGTCTGTAGAGTAAATGGTTATCCATATTTAAATCAATTAGTGATTTAACCAAAACACTTATTTAATTAGTAATTAAATTTTTTTTATGTTATTAAACATATACATTTATGAATATTTGTGAGAAATATTTTTTGTTCTAGTTCTTAAAGATTGTTGGGATTAAATTACCTCTATTGGTTAAAAATTAAAATATTTTCCCCGACATTCCTAGGTATAAGGAACTTAAGTTGACAAAATTAAAGAATTTAAGACTATTATACCTATTATTTGTCTTATTTTATTGTATTAAAATATTTTATATATCAACCATTAATAAGTTTTTATGATAATACAAAATCAATAACTTAAAAAGGTTATAAATTATTATTTAAAAATGTTGTATGATCAACTGTATCAAATATATGGGTACCCACTTAACAAAAATAAAAAACATCTTAAACATAGCTTTAAACATTCAAAAATATATAATTAATTTATTCTTCGGTGCATTATACCTACCTTAATTGTGTATCCTTTTGTTACGTCGTAATACATATGGAAATGTAACGAAGCACCGAAACCCGGCCATTCAATAGTATTGCCCAAAAAGCGCATTGCCATTCCTAAGCTAATATCGTGTCCCGCATAAAGATGCATTTTTCTCGTTGTATTATAATTATTTGAACTTGATTCCATGTTCAAACCAATTTCATTTAGCAGAGGTCCTTCAACATATTATATTAAACCAATGTACAAGTTTCAACATTAATATTTTGAACCTAAAAGTTCCTTAAGATGTCAATACGTGGCCAAATGGCTTATGAGTTTCATACCTATTACCTATATACATATAGGATTTCAGTGATGTGGTTCCAGGTTCGATAAGCCCGGAAATAATAGTTTTAGGCAAATAATTTATTGAATAGTACCTATATTTTAAGGTTATCTAAAATCCTAAAACCATATGTTATACAAATTATTTTACACACCCTTTTTCTAGATTTTTGAGAGCTATACAATACCTATACAATTAGCCTATACAATTCCATTACAATTTCATGTCAAATGACTCAAATAAGAAACACATTTTTTTCCGTAAAATTTTAATCAGATAATTATTTTGAAAATGTTGACGTATTTAAATCGAAATCTGAATGATTGTTTTTTGAGTTATTTAATTGTGTACGGGTACTAATTACTAAGACTAATCGCTATATTACAGTCTATACGTAATGGGTTTGGATAATATATTATGATGAATTTTGTTATAAATATTAATCTACGTATTAACATTTAATGATTTTTTTTTTTTTTTTATTGGATAACCCGCGGCAACATAGGCCATTGGGTGTTGGGAGGGAACTGTAGGTTTTTAGATTGGGTAGGTTGGTACACGAGTGTGTTTGTGGTGGCAGAATTTTTATTGGGGCACCCGTAGGTTTCTGCCATGCCCCGGGTTGGGGGATGGCGGCACTTGTACTCCGGACACCGTGACTTGCCTGGAGAAAAATGCCGCCCAGTGGTCGAGAGGTGAACCCGCGACTGCCAGCGCCGCAGTCGACGCGTTAGACCGCTCGGCCACCTCGTCCCCCCATTTAATGATTTATAAAATTGTCTGAGTATAATTAAATAATAAATAGGTACTATATTCAATATAACATCTATTTTATTTTTTTGTAAAACCATTTTTAAGGACTATAGTCTTTACTCTTTAGTTTAGTTTTAAATTTAATACTTATGTCTTATATCAATATTTTCAAAACAGTCATCTCATTAACAATTTACTGGAAAAAAGGTTGGTTTTGATTTAAAAAAAAGATGTTTGTGAGACTCCTTATAATTGGTATGCAAAATTTAAAAAAAATCAAATGGAAAACAATGGGGGTAAGCGTGCTTGGTGAATCACCCCACATAGTTAAAATAAAATATGTTGCTTACCTACAAATAATTTCATTAAATTTGTATTTTCAAAAATACTTTCTGAAATTGTTGAAGAAATTGATTTCATTGTTGCAAGGTGGTAAGGTTTAATCCATTCTGGTACTGATAATCCATCAGCTATCTTTAAGAATATTAATAATACTGGTAAATGTCTACATATTATTGGTAAAATTATAATATTGGTATATTATAATTTTATTTATATATAGATGTATGCCATTATAAACTTACTTGACACAAAAAAAGGTCGTACATTAGAAAAACCTTTTCGTCGGTTATCGGTTGTCCACAATTTTCTGACAAAAACGATATCAGTGCTGTTATATTTTTGTCAGTAGAATAACCTATTTTTTGTGGTAAATTTGCGATAAAAGAATCAATAGACGGACATATTCCCATTTTACCGAATAACTGTGTAAAACAGAATAAATTATACATAGTGATTAGAAATTAGTAATTAGGTAGGTACTAGGTACGTCTATTATATTTTAAACAGGGTTTTTGCTCTCATACAAAGTAGTTCAGGGCTTAAGGTTTTACCTAACTTAGGTATATTTTATATATATATGATAATATATCTAATTATACAATGCAAAATATTACCGAGGACATTTTCTACTGTGTGTTTATATTTATTCTTTTTCGAATACTATTCTCAATTATGCACAGTGGGGTACCTATACCTATAAATAACACACATTTTTAAGTACTCTGTCGGCCTACAGTCATGAGTATTGACTACTATTGAGTGCACTCCAACACTTTTTAATTTTTAAAGTGTTAAACATGTTTAATAAGTATTTAGTAGATACATACATTTCCGAGATCTGGTGAATTGCTGTAAATGGGAATAGGCTGCCACACAGTTTCTGAGTTTGACCATTTTTGATAATTCTTTGGTGGATACATTCCTGCCAAAACCATTGCCGCTGACATGAACGTCCGACTAGAGTTGGTAGTTTTGGTTAAAATCTCACGGTCCAAATATAAGTCACTTAAGAAACCATTATATAAACGTCGAAACAACTGTCCTTTTTTGTACATATTGTGCTTTCCTTTCTGTTAGTTAACACCGAAAAAAAAATAATATCTGTTTCAATCCTTTCTTATAGAAAAATTATTTCAAAAGTTTTATGTTACCTTATTTATTGTTGGTAAGTTTTATTTATTACCTATTAGTTCATATTACGTACTTCAAATTGTTACTTTTTTGATTCTTTCATACATTAAATAAAAATGTACGGCATCACTCAGTTTTAAACTAAATAAATCATTTTAGGTACTCTATATAAGTATATAACTCTATGTCTGAAAACTCCTACCTTTACCAATAATTACATTTAATTGTAACTATATTTATATAAATTTAAAATTTAGTCTTATACATTTCAATTGATTTAAATAAAAACTTTGAACTTGAAATTTGTGTCTTTTTAAAATAAATACAATATTATTGCTGTATGGCATATTTAGATAATGTGTAAGTATATAACAAAAAAGTGACAAAAAAAATTATAAAATTAATTCAGTCCTAGAATTTGCTCAAAATGTAAAATGTAACGTTTCGTTGACAATATAATTATGATATACCTACCTAAGATTGTATTTTCATTTATTAGTTTATATTGATAGTAGATACATTATAAATATTTTTGTAACGTTTTAATGATTAATTTATTCATACTTTCGTTAATTCCATTAATCCTTCTGGAAAAGCATTCTTGTGTGGGTCTGTCTTGTATTTTAACATTGGTGCTCGATTTCCATGACGGAACAGCTGTAAACATAATATTATATTTGAAAAGAAAAAGCATGTACATTCATTTAAGTAGTTTTTTTTTAAAGTGTAACGTATAATTCATTAGGTATCTTATTTAGTCTATAGCCATCGCCATCATAAGAGGAACTACACCCTTGGGCAACTGGGCCTTGGCCCATACTCATCAGTTATCGCGCCCCGTATTATTGTATACAGTACCTATACCTATAATTACCTATTACGTAATATATTGAATGAACATATACAACTAAATATAGTTGAAATTTAAAATAAGTAAAAATGTAGATCAATGATCATTTTTACTTAGCCGAAATTATTATGAGAAGTATCTGAAATTCTGACCATTGGATTTATTTTTAGAAAATTTAAATTAAAGAACAAATATTATTGTACTTTATTTATATTTTTTTATCGCTTTCGCCCATCTTAAATGACCTCGATTATGATAATACATTTTAATTTTTAAGTACTATATAGGTAACTATTCCAGTATTTTTACATACATTGCACATTGAATTAGATTTTTTAATTTCTGAAAGTCTTGGTAAACGGAGTTTAACATTCAAGTAGTTAGATATCGTACATTAAGGGGCCTCCCATCACCCCCCTCCCTTCCTTAATTTCACAATCATATGCAATCTCAAAGCACTTACAAAATGCAATGTTAAATCATTTATTTTTATGTAATAACTTAAATTCTAGATCCACGGCGGGATCCCCTTCAGTACCTTACAATGCCCCCCCCCATCTAAAAAATATACTATGACATATGTCACATATAAATTAGGTGATCGGCGCCACTGGTCATTTCATACACTTGTCTGTATTTGATAAAATAAACATAATTATTGTCAACATGAACTGAAAATTATATAATATGATATCTATCTATATATATAAAACTGAAATCAAGCAAAATACTTGAAAATAGGAAATCTTTGTTACGGTTTGGCTTCGAAACTTCTTATCCAATTGACATGTATTTTTTTTTTAAATGAAAGAGGATATCACGGAGCAGGCTTTAGGCATAAATAAAGTCCGATAATGTTAGTCAATAATTAGTTATCTATACATATAAAATTCAAATACCACTGACTCACTGATCGCTGTATCTCAAAAACTACTCAACGTACGGACTTGAAATTTGGAATAGAGGTTCTTCTCATATTTTCACCGTGCATTAAGAAAGGATTTTCAAAAATGTTGCGTTTTAGTGGAGTAATTAACGATTATAATTATCACTGCCAATATGTATTGTGCGGCACGTCGTCGTGTAGATAAGAATAATGATTTCGAAAATAAAATTGTTCCGGAGAAGTTTATTGATAAAAATAATCCCATTCATCGCGCGACTGCCTACACCAATACTCCAATTATATTTTAAACGATAAAATACACACCGATAACATACATTTTTCACAAAGCTAGGTATAGCCGGTTTGTCCATAAAAATAAATAAAATAAGTAATAACCCCCCAAAATATATTTATATATAAATATTAAATACTCCTAAACATGCGGGATGATCGACTATGACTTCAATACTATTTTAGGTACACTGTATACACATTTTTTTTCAACTACAAAGCTGTACTAATATAGGCTACCTATATATTTTATCTCCCTCCTCAATGTGTCCGCCATCTACCCCAAGTAGATTGCCTACCTGATAATGTACTGCTGCGATTCAGAATTTTTATTCCGGGCAACGGAAAAGATAAGATAAATGTTGAACACCGTACACCGAATATTAAATAACGAATTGAACAAAGTTCGAGTCATATAGAGTTGATACATTTAACGGGCAACGAAGTGCACGGGATCAGCTAGTAGTTATATGATTGTTACTTAAATTTTTAAATAAAAATCATACTATTAATATTTAATACAGACAGTGGCGTCCGCAGGATTTTTCAATGGGGGGGGGGGGGGGGTTGCTTGAAAATTAGTTACATTTTTATTTTGTCCAGTCTAATAATTTCAGACGTTTATTTGAGGTATTTTAAAATGTTTGTAACTTATCAACTTTTCTGGTAGAAAAAATGCTCTGATCATAAGCTTCGATGCCCTGCAGTGTATGTTTTTGGAAGCAAATTGGATCTATAGTTGGTACTTTTAGGAGTTCAAAATTGAAAATGCTAAGTGCTTTTAAAAATAAATGGAGAAAAAAAATGTATTTAAATGTTTGGTTATACCGTCTTCATTTTTATCCGGTCAAAAACCTTAAAAATGTAATACATAAGTTATTTTATTATAGCTAAAATATTAACGATACATAGGCATAGTGTTTGAAAATTTCATGGAATTTAAAAAAATGAAATATTTCAGTACTTTGATATATTTTGTTTTATTTTTAAATAAGTTTTATATTTACAAATAATTGTCATAAATTACCTTCATAAGGCTGCAATACGATTGCGCGTGGTCCTTATCAGCGGTACCTTTTTAGGCGTACGATTGCGCGTGCTAAATTATTTTTACTTCTAAGCAACGTTACCAAATTTACTTAAGTATTTAGCCATAATTGGAAATAGGTATCAGGGATTTAAAATTTAAATTATTTTATTTATATTATTTTATTATAACGATTTTTTTTTTCAATATCTATTCGAATATTTAATATTATTTTATTATACCGATTTTTTTTAATGAATATTTTTTCGAAATTTTTTTTGATACCTATTCAAATATTTAATATTATTTTATTATAACTATTTTTTATTATTTGTATATAATGTGATTTTGTATCGAAATTGATGATTTTCAACCGTGTACCAATTATTATTGTTTTTTTTTTAAATTTTTTGACCTAAAAAATTGAATTTAGAAGATATCACTGGGCTAGTCGAAAATTTGTTAGGTTTTTATAATAATTATAATTTTATATTTAAATAATAATTTGGCAACTTCGCATCCAATTTCACGCGCAATCGTACGCTTTTGATTAGTCAAAAGCATGAATGCATGATTATTTGTTATTCCGGCACCGAGCGCAATCGTATGCCTAAAAAGGTAAAACGTGCGCAATCGTACTCCACCGCCTTCATAACTATATGGTACCTGTATATTGTATACCTTTGGTATTATACATTTAAAATGGTATTCAAAATTTTTAAATTTTTTAATGATTAAATGATACAAGTAGGTATACAATATTATACATGTATATTGTATAAATACTGAATTCTGACATTAGAATTTAGAACACTGAACATTGTGTTAAAAAAATAAATAAATTGTGTTTTTATTTGTGTAAAAAAATTTCAATGTGTCACGTTTTTGTGAAATATTTCGTACTTCAAATACCTACTACATAGGCACCATGGTTATTTTTTATAAGCATTTAAAGGTCAAATTTCGTCAAAATGACAGTTAATTTGTAGTTCAAAACTTATAAAATATAAAATATATATAGCTAAGGCTAGAAAATTTAATACAAGGTCTTCCATACAAGTAGTTCATACTTTTACCTAAAAATTACAGATAATTTATGAAAATTGGTATGCAAATACAATGTTCTTTCAAAAATGAATTCATTCTGGTAAGACATATATGAAATTTACTTCTTGCTTACTATAGTTGACAGTTTAACTTGATTAATATTTTTTTGAAAAAGTAACAATAATAAGGGCAATGGGGGGGCTTCAGCCCTTTAGCCCCCCCCCCTGCGGACGCCACTGAATACAGACATGCAAAAGTACATAGAATAATATTATAGAATGCATTTATACAAATCTGTTAAAAAAAAATGGTATCAATTAATTTCCCAGCCCCTCCTCTCCACCATTTATAAGTTGGTACATGTCTGAACTTATTAGGAGAACTGGGCAAGTCTAATAAAAATGTGAGGTTCTACCTATGATCACCATAATCATTGTGAATTGATTATAATAAATACCTTATGTGTGGCATGTTATTGTAAAAAATAAGTGACTATACCTACAACTTTCAAGAAACACTTGTTTAAATTTTTACACATTGTTTTTTGTTTGATTAATCTAAACGTAATCCAGATTTAAAATACCTATGTACCTATTTAGATTTTTATTTTGAGCTGAATTTAGTTAGGTAGGTAGTCACCTAAATATTACTATAATATATTAGATTTAATGTACTTATTTTTACTTTTTATAAATTAATTGTTTTGTTAGTCATCTGTATTCATCACCTTTTGGAGCACTATACATTTTTTAAAAGTCAAAAATGGCCAAGGTTTTTCAGAAGTAGTTCTTACAGTAAAAAAAAAAAAAAAACAATAACAAATAGTGTGTGTGTGTGTGTGTGTGTGTGTGTGCACTGTGCAAGCACGCACGTATGAAGTGAAACTTCTTTAGTAGTTTTTACTTTTTAGTGATATCTGATCTTTTCTGAAAACGATCAATCTAGCTGGATGGGCTTGCATGAACTGATAGGATTTTAGGTTCAAGTTCGTGTCATAAAAAATAATTTATTTGTTTGATTCTTTTTATTTATTCAATTTATTTTATTTACTCTATTTATTTTAAATATTAACAGATTTTACTTAATAAATTATATGGTTTAGCATTAATTTTAATCATAGTACAACTGCAATCGTTTTGATATTTATAATTATTAATTTTATCATTACATAATTATTAAATATCTAAATAGATAACAATATTAATAATACATGCAATAATAATAATAATAATAATAATAATAATAAAATAATACTAATAATATATGTATATAAATTCAATTAACTTCTGTAAAACAATCTGTAATGTTTTTTTGTACGATAAGTAAATTACAGAATTTCTTGCAATAATATTTTTAATTTTACAGTTTAATATTTATGTAAAATATAAAAAACACAAATACCTATACATGAGAATTACCAGTATGGGAACTCTTTAATTGGATACGAAAATTAACGATTTCCCCTATGTTAGATATAATTTTAATTCTAAAAAGGTGGGCAAGAGGATGTCGCTCTGCTGTACAGTAGGTTACAAGTGGGGCACTGTATAATGGATGGTATTAAATTTGAATTCAATGATATAATATCATTGTATAAGAAAAACGATTCTGAGCGGTGACGGTATGTCAGTCTATGTATAAGACATATTATATACATATCTATGGTATTAAACAAAAAATTGACCTATAATAGGTACCTATAATAAATTACAAACTAATCATATCACAATATCCATTAGATACTTATAACGCGTTATACATCAACAAAAACCGTGATACTATCATAGATATATAATAGTACACTTTAGAAGTTTCAAGTACCCACGAATAATATTATTCAATCAAAACAAAATAACTAAAATCGTAATTCTTGGTTTAAATATGAAATTTTGCCTAAATTTGAAATTAAAATGTCTGTAAAAAATAAGTGTGTTTATATATTTATTAGATTTTTTGGTTACAGTATGAATTATTTAAGAGAATCTTTGTTTTAAATTTTCAACTCTTAGTTATAAAAACTGAACATTTTATAATTTTTTAATTTCAACGATTGATAATTTTCGAGATTTTGATAAATTTTGTCAAAATTCCAACTTTAAATGCTTATAAAAAAAAATCGTGCCTATGTATTTTTAATATTTTTCAACTGCTATTGTAACAATATATCAGGAGCCTTGTATTACATTTTTACACTTTTTGGCCCAACAGATAAAACTTTATTGATATTTATAGAAAAAAAAACTAAAAAAAATTGAAAGCTGTAAATGTCCATAAACAGCTCAAAAAGAGTCAAAATATTTTCAAAATTGTATGGTGTATAGAAAATGCTAATTTAAACATTCAGTGAAATTTTCATGCATCTACAGTTGTTCGTTTTTGAATTGCAACAAAATAAGGAAATCGCTACATGAGAAATCGAGTGAAAATCCAATGTTGTAAAAATTTGAATTTCAAACGCTCATAAAAATTTAATTTGACTGTCCGGTAGAGATTTTTTTATTGATAAAGGTAGATAATCTTATAAGGAATCTTGTGTTTCATTTTCAAATCTTAGATTTAAAAAGAAAAATTTTTACGAATTCTTAACTCAAAATAATTTGCTAATTTTCGTGATTTTTCCATATTTCGTCAATTTTTGAACTTTAAATGCTTATAAAAAAAAATTGTGACTAAGGATTTTTAATATTTTTCATCTGCCTTTGAAACAACATATTAGGAGCCTTCTATTAAATTTTCAAGCTTTCGCAACCAATAAATAAAATTTTATTGATATTTTTAGAAAAAAAACTAAAAAAAAATGGAAAATGAAAATGTCCCTAAACAGTTCAAAATAAATCAAAATATTTTGAAAATGTTATCGTGTATAGAAAATGCAAATATAAACAACCAGTGAAAATTTCATGTATATACGTTCATTTGTTTTAGAGTTACACCAATAACCAAAATCGATTTTTTGGAAAACCAATTTTGCGTAAAAATTCCCGTTTTTCCTTAATTTTTATGTTGTTTTTCCCGGCACTTGTGAAAACTACTGTGAAATTTATACTTTTGACCCCCCCAAAGTACCAACTAGATTCACTTTCCTACCAGAAAAGCTACTGATGAAGAAAATCCAAGCATTTTTACTGTCCTAAAACGTGATGACAGACACAAAAATATAAATAAAAATATAAATAAAAATATAAATAAAAAGGTGGGCAAGTGGGTGTCGCTCTGCTGTACAGTAGGTTACAAGTGGGTCACTGTATAATGGATGGTATTAAATTTGAATTCAATGATATAATATCATTGTATAAGAAAAACGATTCTGAGCGGTGATGGTATGTCAGTCTATGTATAAGGCATATTATATACATATCTATGGTATTAAACAAAAAATTGACCTATAATAGGTACCTATAATAAATTCCAAATTAATCATATCACAATATCCATTAGATACTTATAACGCGTTATACATCAACAAAAACCGTGATACTATCATAGATATATAATAGTACACTTTAGAAGTTTCAAGTACCCACGAATAGTATTATTCAATCACAACAAAATAACTAAAATCGTAATTCTTGGTTTAAATATGAAATTTTGTCTAAATTTGAAATTAAAATGTCTGTAAAAAATAAGTGTGTTTATATATTTTTTAGATTTTTTGGTTACAGTATGAATTATTTAAGAGAATCTTTGTTTTAAATTTTCAACTCTTAGTTATAAAAACTGAACATTTTATAATTTTTTAATTCCAACGATTGATAATTTTCGAGATTTTGATAAATTTTGTCAAAATTCCAACTTTAAATGCTTATAAAAAAAAATCGTGCCTATGTATTTTTAATATTTTTCAACTGATATTGTAACAATATATCAGGAGCCTTGTATTAAATTTTTACACTTTTTGGCCCAACAGATAAAACTTTAAATGCTAATTTAAACATTCAGGGAAAATTTCATGTATCTACAGTTGTTCGTTTTTGTATTGCAACAAAATAAAGAAATCGCTACATTAGTAATCGAGTGAATATCCAATGTTGTAAAAATTTGAATTTCAAACGCTCATAAAAATTTAATTTGACTGTCCGGTAGAGATTTTTTTATTGATAAAGGTAGATAATCTTATAAGGAATCTTGTGTTTCATTTTCAAATCTTAGATTTAAAAAGAAAAATTTTTACGAATTCTTAACTCAAAATAATTTGCTAATTTTCGTGATTTTTCCATATTTTGTCAATTTTTGAACTTTAAATGCTTATAAAAAAAAATTGTGACTAAGGATTTTTAATATTTTTCATCTGCCTTTGGAACAACATATTAGGAGCCTTCTATTAAATTTTCAAGCTTTCGCAACCAACAAATAAAATTTTATTGATATTTCTAGAAAAAAAACTAAAATAAAATGAAAAATGAAAATGTCCCTAAACAGTTCAAAATAAATCAAAATATTTTGAAAATGTTATCGTGTATAGAAAATGCAAATATAAACAACCAGTGAAAATTTCATGTATCTACGGTCATTTGTTTTAAAGTTACACCAATAACCAAATTCGATTTTTTGGAAAATCGATTTTGCGTAAAAATTCCCGTTTTTCCTTAATTTTTATGTTGTTTTTCCCGGCGCTTGTGAAAACTACTGGAAAATGTTTACTTTTGACCCCCCAAAGTACCAACTAGATTCACTTTCCTATCAGAAAAGGTACTATTGAAGAAAATCGAAGCACTTTTACTGTCCCAAAACGTGATGACAGACACAAAAAAAAATATAAAAATATAAAAACATACATCATTGTAAAACCAATACATTCATCGCTCCGCTCAGAATCTAAAATATAAAAAAAAACATACATCATTGTAAAACCAATACATTCATCGCTCCGCTCAGAATCTAAAATATTAATCGTATAAAGTCATAGATACTTGATACTTTATTTGCCGATACAAATATTATAAGTACCTACCTAACTACATAATATATTATTATTTTCTATAGATACATTATACATTTTTTTCAAATATTTATACCATGAACCTATTTGCACTGTTCTATGTTACGACTATCGGACTATGGATGACTTATATTATATAATATATAAAGTTATGTATCTTAAGTCTATTTTTATCATGTAAGATGTATCATACTATGTAGACTGTCGAACGAGATCGACAAAATATCGGGATAGATATGATCCTTGACACAATGACACTAAATTGGGACTGGAACCAAGGACAACACTAAGATGATAGTTTAAAAACAACAGACATGTACAACACAATATAAAAAAGATGAAAACCTATATCATCAGAATTAGTCTGTCAAATATAATGTCATCCAACTTTATTACCTTTATTACCTTAAATTTAATTATTTAATTCTATTCATATAAGTATATTTGAATATTTGTAAATAACTTTAAAGTACCTAACTAAAATAATTAATGGCCACAGATGCCGGACCTTTTTGAAAGTACCTACTTTAATACATTATACATACCACGGTGACGAATTTGAGTGAAGCATCTGAAAATCGTCCAGGTCGAACGACGTCGTTATTTTGTTGTTCAAATCCTACAATGAATACGTACAGGACACTGCAGATGACAATGACACTTAAGGACAAACCAATGACGAAGGTGACTTTTTTGAAATTTAGTGCCATCCCGTGAAAGTATAAAAAGATAACAATATCCGACCTTCCTGGCTGATTTGCTTAAAAATTGCTCTAGTTTATTATTTTTACTTAAACCGGCACGCACCTGCAGTTACGTAATTAAGAAGACCGTTGCGCGTTTGTTTTGTAAGAAAAAAAAACATACATTTTCGAAAAAAAAGCTATGTTTATGTATACACAATAGACATATTGTAACTGTACGTAGGTAATTAGTAAACTGGACCGAACGAACTTTTCATTGTGTTATATATCACTCGTGTATAACACTGTGGTGAGTATTTAGATTGTATCTAAATATGGGCATAGGTACTGATAACACTATTCGTATAGCATAATAGCCTGCGCTAGGTCATGTTTTTATTAATTAATCTATTAATACCTAGGTACTATAAATAAGTTAATTAAATACGTCTTAGGTGTCTACCAGTCATGGTTTGCATAATACATTACTTAGAGTTATTTTACTTATTTTTCCTATTTAAAAGGATGAAAAATAAATATGGATGCTGAACTAGGTACCTACATTGAAATCAACTAATCAATATGCATTACGTCAAATGAACTTTGCTCATACCAGACAAAATTTCAAAACAATTTTCATGAATTACAATTAAGTTTCTTCCCGGTGTTTGGTTGTGAATAGTAGGGGGTATATCAATTGTCCGAACTGACCTTTTAACGAGATTTTTTATATATTGAATCCGCCGGCTATCAACTCCATTGAGTTTTTTTCTTTTTTCTACAAAGCTTAAGTGGGTAGCGAAAAATGTAAGCCTAAAAAAGTACAAAAAGGTTAAAGACCACTGGCCTATGATATAATACTATAAGTATAATATTTGACGGTGTTATTGTAAATAAACACTGTTTATTTAATAAAGTAATTAGTTCACCTTTTTGTTTTAAATTGTCAATCCTTAGCTATAAAAGCTGAACATTTTATAAATTTTCAACTACAAAACAGTTTTACAATTTGATAAATGTTGTCAACAATCGAAATTTGATTGCTTATAAAAAAATTTCCGACGGATTCGATAAAACTAAGCTGGGTACCCTGGAAAACGTTTTTAATTTTTTCGTTTTCGTTTTTGCTTATTGATTTAAAAAATATCGTTTTTAAACGTTTTGAAAAACGTCATTTTTCCATATTGTTTCCAAATAAAGTTTTTGATAATTTTGTTTTTGTTTTAGATTCTGTGCGGAGGCGCGGAGCGTTGAATGTATTGATTGAAATTGATGATTTGATGAAATGAAGTGTGTGTGTGTTTTTTTTTTTGTGTCTTTTTACAAGATAAGTAGGTAGTGGATATAATGCATCGATTTTCAACTTCAGTATTAAAAGTATTTAAAGTTTAGACGAGCGGAGTGGAGTGGTTCGGGGTTACCCCGCGAAATGTTTGTCCACTTCACCGCTCATCAAACTTTGAATATTTATAACTCATAAACTACTCAACCCAAATTCGATTTTCATGTATCAAAATACTAAGAAAAATATTCTGCTTTGGAATATAAAATTAAAACCCTATGTTGTTATTTAAAAAAGTAAAAAACTTAAAAAATTATAAGGATAAAAAATATTTAAAAATATAATTTTTTAATAAAAACGTTGTTTTATAAGCGACTTAAAACTATGTAAAAAAATATTTTCAAAAAAATTTACACTTTTTGAAATAATGAGTGTTGTTTGATAAAAGAATCACCCAGTATACTAATATCATAGGCTGTGTTCGCTCAGAATCGTTTTTCTTATACAATTATATCAGATCATTGAATTCAAATTTAAAACCATCCATTATATAGTAACCCACTTGTACACCTACTGTACAGCATAATGACACAAACTTGCCCTCTTTTTGTTTTCTTTCTCGGCACTTTTGAACACTATAATGGGAATATAGGATTTTGACCTCCCCAATGCACCAACTAAATTCACTTCCCCATTGAACAAGATATTGCAGTTGAAATTCAAAACATTATTTTGACTACTTATCGTATACAAAGACAAAAGAAAATAAATAAATAAAAAAAACATACATAATCATTGTAAAATCAATACATTCATCGCTCGGCTCAGAATCTAAAGTCGCTCTTACGCGTGCATTGTAACAAAAATAATAAATAGTAATTAGTAAGTAAAAAATAAAGATAAACACTGATAAATAAAAAATAAAACAAGCTGTTTTTTATTTAATAAATAATAACAATTTAATATTTTATAATATTAATATTTATTATCAACAATTATTAGTTATCAAAACTATCAATTTTTCGATAACATTAATTTAATTTTTAATTTTTTTTTCTAGTGGTATAATACTATATCATTTATTTTTGTTTTTGTTATTACATTTTTTTTTAGGTTTTTGGGATTTTTCGTTATCGTTTTACAGTTGTTTTTTGTTATTCTTTCATTAATTGTTTTCGTTTTTTGATTTTTTTTTTTTCCTGAATTAAAACCCCATTAGTATAAGGTTGTCGTACTGTTCACCAGTGGCGTATTGGGGGGATATGGTGGACATTGTGTACACGATCAAGGTGTATTCATAAATACACCTTGTACACGATACAACATCGATATAATAATATGAATATATTATGTGTATCTGATAACTGAGTATGTCTATTCAAATCTTTATATCCCTCCCCCCACGCCCGTGAAAAATACTATTTAGATCAGTGTTTCCCAACCTTTTTACCACCACGGACCACTTTGACAATATTTTATAGGTCGCGGACCACCTCAATTTTACTCAAACTAGGAAGACCTTTTTTTTTTTTTGCTCATTGACAAGAATAAACAAAAATTTATTGGAAAATTTTTATTATTTTAGTGTACTATTATATATAATTATTAAACTTTACTAATAATTTACTTAGTGTGATTTTTGTATACGATAAGATAACCGTATATTACGGGGTAAAATAAAATATTTTTCGCTGTTTAAAACAAAAAATAATTTTTAATAGAAAACTAAGAAAGGTACCGCGGACCACCTATGACTGGCCCACGGACCACCGGTGGTCCGCGGACCACCGGTTGGGAAACACTGATTTAGATACATTACTGCTGTACACAATAATTGTTTATGTACTTTCTTATTATATGGACAGTTGTTTGTTACGTAAATCTATTTATAGATTATGACTTATGACTTAATTAAAAAATTATAATATTATAAGTATTTATAACGTACCACGGCAACGAATTTGAGGGAAGGATCCAAAATCTGTTCGGTACCAATAACGGTGTTTCTGTAATGTTCGCCCCATCGTTCGGACATGTACAGGATACCGACAATGACGGTCAAGGATGAGCAAACTACTAAGGACGTCGTTTTGCCATCGAATGCTACCATCATGTGCTAGAATGAGACAATTTAATTGCAAACGACGTTCACGTAGATCGATGCCCATTGCACAAAGCAAATTATGCATCATCCACTCCTTATAATAGAATGAGGTCTATCGCAAATTCAGAAACAAATACATTTTTTTAATTTTAATTTTAGTTCTGTCGTTTCTTTTAATATTTGTATGAAAAAACAATTTTTATTTGACTTACAATCTGATTTAAGATACTATTTTAAGATGTGTTCATGTAAAAAAAACATACATAACTTTAAAATCGATATAAGTTAAAATGTATAACATATAGGTAGGTACCTCCATGGCTCCATTATAATTATAACTAGCGGTCAAGCTCTTTCGGATCAGTAATATATAACGTAAATCTATTATAGGTATCATAACAAAAAAGGTTGTTTTACTCACATGTCCTATTATAGTGATAAGTTGCTAACGCCTAAAAATTCAAATTCAAATTTACACAAAAACAAAACAGATGATAATATGATCTTAATAAAGTGCTATTATGAGAGTTATACTGCGGTAAAAATATAATAATAAATGTTAAAAGTTAGGTTAGATAATGTTATTATAAGATTGAATACTGTATATTAGAGAATAATGATTTTAGCAATCCGTGCCAACTATATTATTATGTTATGTAATGAGTAATGACAAATAAATTTAAAAATTGACAGTTCGTGTTAATACGACTATTTGAGTCAGAATTATTAATACATTTTAAAAAAAAAACCTTGACTAGTGATGGCTAGGTATTTTTATTATAATATTTGTTTTTTATCACAAGTGCCTACTGTAGATTAAAATATATACCTAGGTACTATATAGGCACTTACTTAAAAGTTAAAACGTATACCTAATTTAATAAACAAAAAAATACTTAAAGCGTGTTGATGCGTATTTAACTATTTAGTATTTATTCATATTAATACTTCAATGTGTGTGTACAATGTTCAAATGTATGTATGCCGTATGGTTATAACTTATAACATTAAAGTGTACGAGTTGTTATTATTTGATAAAGAAAAATAAATTGACTAATTAACAACTAAAATAAAAAATTAACTAATCGTTGGAAATTCGATTTTTATATTACCTATATCAAAATATGAAATTAAAAAAATTAAGGGTGGAGTAGGCAACCGGTCTGCCTTATAGTAGTTGCTAGAGTACTTCGTCATTGAGCAGTAAGTCACTTTAATAGTGTATAGGTAGGTATTATATTATATTATGAGTTAATTTAGAATTCAGTTATAAATCATAAGCGTAAAAAATTATATTTGCATACGAAAAACAATTCTGAGCAATGATGGTCTACCTATAGTACCTACCTGTATGGCTGTATTTTATGAAATACATACTTCTATTGCCATTAAAGTAATTTATTTCACTACTAGTATCTAATACGATAGGGTAAATTCATTTTTATCGTAAACATTGCATTTGTAAATCAGTAAATGTCATTGTGTGTGTAAAATATAATAATATACCTATCTACAAGTTTCAAGTACCCAAACAAATAAGTACAGACGTAGGTACACTGTACAGTTTAAACAGTAACAATAAAATAATAAAAATCGTTAAATATTTAATTTCGTCTAAATTTGAACTTGAAAATTGAAATG